CTCTCAAGCTAGCTGGAATTGATCACTTATTCGATGTAGTATTGGGCAATGAAGATTACACAGAGCACAAGCCAAAGCCTGATGCGTTCACTACAGCAGCTAAGCGACTAGGAGTCAGCCCAGAAGAATGTTGGGGATTTGAGGATACGTAAGTCAGATTTCAATCTGAAAGATGTGGGCCTGTTTGTTTATGTGCCGGTTCAACTTAAAGTTATTGAAAATCTTTCAACTTTGAATGATTATTTTGATGCTAGAATTTTAGCCTAGGGGCCCTGCAATATTGGCTTCCTGATCCAATAACGGATGTATTTTCTCGTTTCAGTACTTTAAATTAAGTGCTTTTGTCAATGGCCTTATTAATATTGTTTTTGGCTTTGTTACAAAAGGACCTACCCCACGGTATCAGAGGTTTTTTTGTGTACTTCATCCGGATATGTTGAAAACAGACCTCTGTAGCGATTAAGCACCATGAGGCAAGCAAAAATTATATATGCATGCATGATCAAACTTTATACCCCTGACTCCTGACTAGCCTTGTTTCTTAAAATAAAATGAAGGATTTGAATATTGATTTTAATGCTATGACCAATGCAGTGTCATCAATCACTATTCATGATAGGAAAGACCACAAAACTCTTTGATTTAACAGCTGGTGGCTGTACTCTCACCTTGGCATAATATCAAAAGTTGACATCACTGAACAGATCTTTAATCCCAAGTTTCAAGTGGCTGGAAAATATTTTGAATGTGATTCACTGTTGATTGTCAATCAGCATTCACTAATTTGCATGTATTTATTTCTTAGGGACATTGGTCTAGAAGCAATTAGACAAGCTGGATTTTACAGAGTAATTGATGTTCGGCAAATGGAGGGTTATCCTACCAGAACAGATGAGAATGGACTCGTGATCCAAAATCCTGCCAATGAATTTCACAACCTAAGATATAGAGCCTTCACTATGTAAAACTTCAACTTGTTGCACTTAAAAGGGGCTATGTCACGAGGATATTGCTGTTCTAGGTCAATTCTGTGCTGAAGTCATAATGCCTTAACCCATACACAAAATGCTCCTGTGAAGAGTTATGAAATATCAAACAGGGAGTGAGGCTATCAGGGAGCACTAACCAGTTTTTTCCATTTTTTTGGTAATTTTACAGGGATAGCTTTTTACAGGCGCAACTTTTTAAAAGTTTCAATTCACATCCATCCTTGCCATTTTTTCGAACAGACTACAGAAAACACTTTCACAGTAACTAAAAATATGCTGAAATAACAAAACTGCAGACCATTATTTTTGGAGTTCAATTGATGCAAAAAGAGTTTTAGCTTTTCAAAAATATAGCAAATAGCATTGCATAGTCCCTTTAGACTGTAACTCTTCTATTGGTTTACTGCAACTTCATTATGATGACAGGTGTTTATATGTTTTATTTTAAAACTAAATGAAGTCAGGTATTTGTATTATTAATTATTAAAATCAAATTATTTTGGAATAGTTGTTGGGTGGAGGGGGGAGGGGGAGTGCAAACGTTTAGAGACAGTAACATTTTTTTTGAAAGTTAATTGATTTCTACTCAAATAACTGTTTCTTTTGGAAGGTGATCATTCAAACCATTATCTGCCAATGCAGGTAGTATGTGTAATTTTTGTGCTATTAAAGCACAAAGACACATGTTATGAATTATTTTTTGCATAGAAAATTATTCCAATGTCACAAATTTCAGAGGTTTGAAACCTTGTTTTTTCCATTAATTGAAACAGTCCATTTAAACTTGAAAAAAGCCCATGAAGAAAAAATCACTGCTTTAAATGTCTGTGATTATAGTCATAATATTATTTTAATTTTTTAATATAGTGTACTAGAGTGAGTGCATCATACTGAAGTTGCACTGCTATTCTATATATCCATACAACTTGTACAGTTTTGTAAGAAAAATTTGAAAAGTAATAGCCTGCCAATGCATGCACATCTTCCCACAAAAAAGGAGAAAAGAGGGGAGTCGCAAGAGTATCAGGGGCGGTGTTGAAGTAGAGCAAGAGGTGAGTGCACCCCCTCCTAAAAAAAATCCTGGATCCGCCCGAGTATTGTTGCTTTCTTTGAAAAAAGTAAGTATTGCTTGTTAGATCAAGCTACGTATTTTAAGGACACCACAAGAAAAATAATACTTTTAAAGTAGTAGTTATTTTAAGAAACCTTTTTAAGAAGAGGGACTGTGGTTTTACAATACTAATATTAGCTATTGAGTTTATGCAACTAGACACGTGGACAGCAGAAAAATGAGAAGCAAGGTGCTTTTTTGTGACAATTGTGACCATTCACGCTATTACTTCAGTGTTACATCACGATCAGTTTACTTAACGTTAATGTTGTGCGGTCTTCTACAAAAAGATCTGTTTAAAGGAAAGTGAGATTTGGAGGAAAATTATTTGGAACAAAATTAGTCACGCTTGTCACACAAGGTTTGCTGTCTTCTTTCCTGGCTCTCCTGCCCTGTTGCATAAGTTCAGTATTGTCTATAATAGTTATCAGTTTTGATGACATTCATCAGAGAAGTACAAAAGAGAAAAATTACCAAAAGGAGAAATGGAGAAAAGGTCAACAAATGGGAAAAATGAAAATGTTTCTTCTGGGGAAATAATATTAATAATTTATTTAAGTTGTAGTAATGGTTATTGCAAAAACATCAATTAATTTTAGGGTTTTGGAAAATATTCACACCAATAAAAACTCGTGGGGTTTCTGGACTGATAGCAATGGGGCCGACGTTTTAGATCCCTTGTAACTCTGAAAAGTGGTGTGTCAGTATTTTCCGGAAAAAAAATTCTTTGAATAATTTTTTAGCTATACATTCACATTATCCCACCTCTGGGGAATACATGTATTATGTTCAAGTCATATTTTCTAGAAATTGTTACACAAGTTTCTTTTTGGAATTTTACATAGTTGGTATACTGCTAGAAAAATATTTACACAGTCTGTAATATAGACACTGGATTTTTTTTTTGTCTCACTGCTGTAATCTGCCTGCTTTTATTTCATAAATAAACGCTAACTTTCTTGGTCATATGTAAATTATGCCATCAAATAAGTATTTAACTGTATCTTTTTTTGCTCTCAGCATATAACATCTCCCTATTTGAATATTTCATGTAGGGGCTTAAGTTTCACCTTTAATTTTCATGAACTCTTTGTTAAGGTGCTGCAACCAAAATGGAAAATAAATGAAGAAATATGGACACCAAAGTTTTAACGTTTTATTTTCATCCGAAATATTATAGGCTGTAGTCAATAATTTTCCCTTGCAAACTGTCTGAAAAGAATCAACATTAAAAATTTAGATTTGGGCAAAATTGGGCCATTCCATTCATTAACCACATCCTCTCCCCCTTTGGATGAGATTTTCCAAGGGGTACCTGAGGGGCTGGCTGTGTCGGCACCCGCTGATCTTTGGAATATTTCTGAGGGGGGAAGAAAACATGGGCTACTTCTGAGGGTGGGAGGGGCTGTGTTGGTACTTTTGATTTCTTTTTGTTGGTTCAAAATTAGCCAGAAATCTACTACAGGCATGAAAAAGTTTAGCCATAAAGTCAGTTTGTACATAATATTATTACAAAACAACAGGTCTAATCCGTGACTTGGTTACTCCGGCCCGCGACGCTACGAAGGAGACTATCATCCTCCTAGTCGAAGAATTTTGGGTAGCACCGAGTCCCACGTAAAATGATCACGAATACCTCAGTAGCCTCCCACAACGAACTCCAGGAAGATTTTCAGGACATCTGGGTGGGAAGATATCAATGAGTGTAGTCAAGAGTTAGACATTTTTCCTAGTTTCGGAATAGTTCAACGTGCTAAAGATTTCAAGTGACTCACCTAATATTTTAATGTAAGATTACAACAATATAATTTATTGATCAAGAGTTGAATATTTACTTAAAATGTTTTGGTCTTTTCTATGACTTAATCCTTTTAAAAACAAATAAACAAACACGCTTTCACAGAGCTCCTGAACCGGATGCAAAACAGATTAAGATATCTGTTGACAGATTGACCTTTTCAACGGCGTGCTATTTACGTCGAATACCCTGGCGCGTGACCGGCAAAGATCGTCAATGAAATTAGATTTCTGATTGAAAATGTTATAGAAATCAAAAGCAATTATCTTTATCATCGGTGTTCCATTGCAAAATATTATGTAGCGACATATTGTTTAAGTAAACGACTGGTTGCATGAGATGGTGCGTGACACATAAATGTTCCTTGCCCGGCATTGACGTGTATGATTACGTAAAATAGGGTGGTCGTGGGGTGTATATATAATGGCTAAATTTTTGGTTAGTAAAGAGTAAAATTTAGCCGTTAATTAATGGCTAAATTTTTCTTTAATAATAATACAAAGTGACTTAACGGCTAAATTTTTCTTATAACTACAGTGTGAATTTATTGCAAATTTTGCCATTGTCTAAACACCGGGTGGTCGTGACGGTCTCCATTAGGGATATATTTCTAGATGCATAACAGTCCAATCTCTTACTCGGAAAAGAAATATAAATGTACCTATTGTATGAGATCATAGCTAAATTGAAAAAATAATAAACAGCAAAGTAACGTCTGAAGGAACCCTCCTGCGTCTGGTGCCGTGCCACCCCCCTGCCTTGTTCGTCAGACAGCAAATTGTTTTCTCGCGTGAACGCCAGTTACACTGCGAAAAAAAATTTCCCCTGGAAGTAAAATCTGACTGCCGTTTGTGATCTGAAGAGGTTGTTTATAAGTTGTACTACGTTTCCGATCCGAGGATCCCACGAAACAAAGTCCTTGTCTCACTAGTGTTCCATTCATGCTTTTCAAATATGCGTGACAGTAACAATGTCTTTTTGTAATGTTCATTCATTCATGATCTCAACAACATTCTAGAATTACATTGACCGGAAAGTTCATTTTGTTGCTACCGGGTAAAAATGAACAGAGACGTGACATAAGGCACTTCTAAATCCAGTCAGGTTCGATCGTTTAACTTCTGAAATATCAAGAAGTACAGCTGAAAACTCAAGCTTTAAAGATAAGGAAAAGGATAAACACAGTGGATCGACCAACTCAGGAAACTTGATTGAAACTTTCGCCTCCTGTGGGGTATTAAAAAAGTCGTTGTAGGATCACGGACCAAGACGTCTTCTGCCTGAAGCGGACGGATTTGTTGCTTATTTATAAGCTTAAAACATCGTGATCACTTCTTTGAATTCTTTGTTTACCTTCTAACGCCTTTTTTGGCGGGAAGTTACTGTTTGTATCGACAATGCATTTACCTGTGGAAGCCAAGGCCCTGATCTTTGATTGTGATGGAACTTTACTGGACACTATGCCCTTACATTGGAGCGCTTGGTGTGCTATTTGTAGAGAAACGGGCTTGAGATTTAATAAGGAAAGCTTTTACGCGCTCGCGGGAGTTCCGGGTAGAGAAATTATCCGCAAACTTGCAAATCAACAAGGGATCGTTCTTGATCCTATGGAAGTGTACGCACGAAAGAAGGCTTTCTTTCTCAATGGACTTAAATCTGTCAGAGCGATACCCTGTGTTGTTCAATTTGCCTTGGAAGCAAGAAGAACTGGAATACCAACCGCTGTAGCGTCTGGTAGCTCACGCGCTCAAGTTGAACAAGGTACGGTGTAGAGGAAGGTCAAGGGTGAATCTGCTTTTCGTTTTTCATAAATTTTTGGCTCCTGCGCTAGAGGTTACTTCCTAAAAGGAAGTATTCCTTCAATTTCTTTTTAGCTTTTCCGTTTAGAATATTATTTGACGATAATTATTTAAACACAAGCTTTAGGGCGTATTTACGTGTTTTACAAAGAATCAGATAATTCGATTCAATCTCATTGTTCTTTAGGGTTCAAAGTCCACGCCGCGATCATTGTCTTCTCTCTTTGGAAAGCTGCGGTTGGCTAATCCATAAATAGGGATTTGATCATTTGAAACAACAACCCCTAAAAGCAGTAATGTCCAAGGGGTCCTGAGGCAATCTCCACTCCGCCACAATTACAAAAGAATCATTCTTTGCTAGTCTATACCTTTTACTGAGTCTTTTACTAAGTGATACATAACCTCAGGTAGAATACTGACAGTTACCGTAAAATTACGAAAATAAGCCCCTCCATGTATAAGCCCCTCCAAATATAAGCCCCCCAAAAATCGTAACGCAAAAAAACCTCCGTTAAATCGTCCGTCCAAATATAAGCCCCCCATGGGGCTTGTACTTGGAATTTGCCCTTGAATACAAAGTAAAACAAAGCAAAAATGGTAAATTTCCTTCCCACTACAAGCTAGCCCAATCGATTTTGAAACGCAAATTTCCCTCTGATCATAAGCCCCTCCGAATATTAGCCTCTCCGAAAATAAGCCCCTTAAAAAGGGCCTTTGAAAAATGTAAGCCCTGAGGCTTATTTTCGGAATTTTACGGTATTTTGTCTATTTTGGTGAGTAGAATGAGGTGGAAACAACGAGAAATTGTTTGAGTGCACTTTCACAGCTTTGCTACTTACTGGAGTACTTGCTGGCAAAAGCCCCAGCTCTGCAGGTTACAGGTTTAAGGCAGTACGGTCAACTCTTTCTTAATGGACACCTCTATAAAACAGACACCTCACTAAAATGGACACCTAAAGTTGGTCCCTGCCTTTCTTTACCCCTTTCGATTGACTCTCTATGAGATGTACACCTCTCTGAGATGCACACATAGTGCTGGAAAAGGTTTCTGTCTTATTGAGAGTTGACAGTAGCAGTTTTATCTAAGGAGGTTCAACTGTGAGGGAGACTACCCCTATACCCACCCCAGCAAAAACCTGATGCTGGATATAGACACTGGAGAACTCCTTCTCCCAGATGGATTTGTCATTAACCATAGAGCCATATTATGTATCTATGTATGATAGTGTTCTGATGGAAATTTTGTAGAAGTCCTAGAGGGCTGAATCACAAAATCAAATCGATTATACATTTTATTTATACTACCATTACTCATTTGGAATTCCCGGTAGAAGTCAAAAATATTTTTTGAAGCAAGCTCAGAAATGTTGTATTATTCTATATTAGTGATTTCTATTTTATTAATTTTCTCTGTACAGCACTGACGGAAACTGGTATTCGAGACCTGTTTAATGTCATTGTTGGAAATGAAGACTACGAGAATGCCAAACCCAGTCCGGATGCCTTTCTGACAGCAGCCAACCAGCTGGGAGTGTTGCCACAATTCTGTTGGGCCTTTGAAGACTCGTAAGTATCTCAAACCATTAATAGCTCGTGATAAAAAAAACAAAGGGATGTTCCGTCATTAAAACTTTGAAGATGGAAAATCTAATAACTTTTTTGATCTTAATATTTTATCATTGATTTTATCATTTTATCATTGACCATTTGAGAAGCTATTAATGCTCAAAACAGGCTCTCATTCATTATGACAAAAAGTCAAAGGATTTGTCTGTGCCTTTTCTCATGCCACCTCATTGTGTTTGATATCAATAGTAAAAGCTGCTGTCATGAGCCTAACAAAAAACAAACACTCACATAAATGTACTGCCTATAAGTAGTAATAATAATATTGTTTACTCAGTACCCTGATAATATATTTTCCATCAATATATCAGCTAGTTATTGTTTGTATTATTAATTAATTAATTCATTCATTTATTTGAGCAAATCCCACGTATTTACATCCAAGGTAAAGAGTTTACTTTTGAACTTGTTTATCATACGATTTATCTAATTTTTTTCAGAGACATTGGCATAGAGGCAATAAAAAGAGCTGGTTTTGCCAAATTTGTAGATGTACGGCATTTAGAAGGTTATCCTGAAGATGATAGTAGATGATGATAGTTGACTTCAATGCAGAAGATGAGCATTCTTTGTTGTCTGCCTCAGATCAATGTCAAATTGAAAAAAAATACATGCACAATGATGGAGAAGACTACAGAATGCTGCATTGTAAAATCAGGATAATCTCCTGGCATTGAGATATGTTATTTCAGAGAATACTGCCATCAGGTTTTTAGCCAGACATTGAAAACTGGCCGTCCAGAAGGCATGTTTTCCCATAACATTATAAGAGAACAAGTGAATTTTCCTTGTATTTGTTTCTAAAATGGCCGTGCATAAGGTGGCTGGACACCCTTCTGGCTAAAACCTTGACTGCCATGCCAGAAGAAATGTTTTACGTAGCAATCAGTTTTCCTGATTAGAATAGAGAAATAACAACAGTATCAGCTTAAAAAAAAAAAACACATTGTAATGTGGAACACTTACTAGTGTTTCAAACCAGCCAAATGCTGCCAGTTGGTACTTGTACTCTAATTTTTTATTTATTTATTGAAAAATTGAACTATTTATTGCAATAGTATGAAAAGCTGATCATTTAGCCCAAATCTGCGGAAATGTTTCATTTTAATTTTTAAAATTTTTAATGTGCTACTTGTCAGATTTTTATGATGTAATAACTTTTAACTGTAATTTAATTTATTTGATATGCTATTCAGAACATGTATAAAATAACCACTGCATTTTCAGTATTTTAATTGTAACTGCTACTTGCAACTTCAGCAAGAGTATAGGACTGTTCAGTAATATTTTATTAGATCATTATTTTTTTAAGTACAGCTGTATATGCCAGACCTATTAAATACAGTGTCAGAAGTACATGCTCTACTTTTTCCATTTACTTGTCTCTTATAATAGATTTAGCCAGAGTTAAAAGTGAAGCTCCCATTTATGCATTTCAAATTTACTTCCGACAATGGACTTGAAACCATTGCAAAGAAATCCACAAATCTGTACTTAACTTTAGGGGAGAACCATGTGACTGAAAAACATGAACTTGAGCCTGCGATGAATTAAAAGCTAATAACTGGTTGGCAGAAAACTTAAAATTACATGTGACCTCGATGAGTTGGCACCTGAGCCCAGAATACAGTCATGTGAATGGTCAGCGGATACCTTTTTTGACAGCTGTCAATTGACCATAATATGGATGACTATTATCACGTTAAAAACAAGTAACTGGCTTCCACACTAGCTAGTAAGTTTGACATTTCATAAAATTCTAAATTAATTTTTCTTGAATTGATAGATTACCAAAATTTAATATTCTTAGGTATGGGGCTTCGCTTGGGCACACGTGGAGTTCCACTAATATTAATAATGAGAACAACTCAGTTCTTCCAGAAAAATACCCATATACCACCTTATAAAAGGGTTTTGGGAGAAATTTAATACATCACTGTCTTTCTCTATTGCTCTTTGATAGTGTGTTGTCTATCAAAATATGAAGATTGGCTCGAGACTCGGCAGATAATGCATCAAGTTGACTTATGTTTTCTAACAGTAAAATTGCTTTCAATGAGGCACTGTTATCAATTGAGTTACGATGGTCACAGTCAATTATATTTGACTATACAACGTGTATAATCTCAAAAAAGGTTGTGTGCTTCATTTAGTGTTCAAAAACTTCCAAGCAACGGTCAGAAAGTCTTTGCGGGTAAAAGCCTAGTGCCTTTTCACTTGAAATATTTAAATAAAATTTTCCTCTTTTCACAAACTGATGCAATCAAAACTCAAATGTACCTATGCTGATACTTGAGCAGTTTTGGGAGTTTCTGTGTGAGACTTATCTGTATGCAGATTTATGAGAGTGTTACTGCTTTCGGCTAGTTCACTGATCGTAACACGTCCACGCTGCTTAATAAACTTGGCTACAGCTTGGAGCTCTTCTGGTGATATGTAAATAAATTTTCCACGATCATCTGTCACTCCTGAAAGAGGAGTTTAAATGAAAAAAAAGTTTAATTACATAGCTTCACCTAAACAGAAGAAAAGAAATAGATTCTAAAATACAGTTGACTCCTGATAACTCGAAACTTCTGGGGAAGTCAAAACAAGTTTGATTATCGGGAGTTCCAAGAAAATAACTGGGAATAAGGAAATAAGAAAATGGATGGGGAGGGAATGTGACCATCATGGACACTTTATGGACAGCAAGAGATGCAGATTAGTATTTTGAAAAAGGAATCAAGCAACAAAACTTGATTAATATTCTGAGATGGATGCTGAATTTGAACTGGAGTGACAAAAAAGTGAAACAAAGAACTGACATAAAGAATTCTTGTTTTGATTGTGTTTTCTTGTTTTGTTTTTTCCAACATTTCAGACAACAGTGAACTTTTTTTTCACTTGTCACACCCTTAAAACATGGTTTGAGTTATCAAGGGTAGAATTATATAGTTAAATGATCTAAAGGGAGACAAAAATTACTTTGAGTTAGCGGGAGGTTTGAGTTATCGAGGGTTCGAGTTACTGACGGAAAATTACAATACATGTATGAGGGAAATCCAGGGGAAATTGACTTTGGTTTGAGTTAGCACGAGGTTTGAGTTAGCAAGGGTTCGAGTTATCGGGAGTCAACTTTACATGTAGCAACATCCAGTTTGGCAATGCTTATAAATGGCCATAATGGACAGCACTGGATGGCTTAATCAGTGCAGTACATGATGGAGATCCCTGGTTAACCTGGAAGAAACTATTCATCTTCAGCATAGTGTCAAAAATGTGTAATTTGAAGTTTTACATGATTGATATTCCCCATGGAACTTTTGCCTCATCATAATGCATGCTGACATAGTTTGCAGATCACAAAGACAACAGCCAATCAATACATATACCTGTTATCCTCTCCATTTCCTGTAAAGCCTGCAGTCTATCAATAGCATCTTGTGTGCGAAGACCAAACTGACATGCTAGTTCCTCCAGTAACACTACCTTGGATTCCTTTCAGGACAATATAGATTATTGAAAATAATTAATCAGTACCTATTAATAATTATTTATGGATGCCAACTTGTTTCTCATCAAGTGCTGCAAAGTTGAGTTTTACAAGCATGTGGAAAGTTACCTTAATGTAGGTAATGAATTCCTCTAGAAGAGCTTCTGACTAAAATAAATCAGATAAATGCAGATCAGTACTTATAATGAAACTCAGAATATCAACAACACCAGAAAGAATGTTTTAATGTGTTACAAGGAAAACTATACTGCAAGCAACAATGGTATAATTAGCTTGTGTTTCTTTGGCTTCCTTCCATGTCCTGATCTTAGTTGTGATTGGTCATAACACTTTTGAAATATTTCAGGTAATCACAGTTTTCTTAATTTGACAATAAAACTAGCTGCTATAGAAAATGAAGTTGAAGTGAAAAACACATACCATGTGCAATCTTATTTTTTTTCAGCTGTAGATAGTAAAATAATAACATGACAAAACCTTACTTCTTAAGCTGTAGATAGTAAAATAATAACATGACAAAACCTTACTTCTTCAGCAGTCTCGCCAACACCTTCTTCTTCAACTGTAAACTGTTCTTTTAATAGTAGATATTCTTCATGCTCTTTACGCTCTTGTTCCTCCTTTCTTTTACGTTCCCCCTCTTCCTAAAATAAGAAATTTGACATCTATAGACAAACCACATCACAAGAGCTCTTTGATTTCGGCGACCAAAAAATTTTTAGGTCATTGGACTTAATTACATGCCTGGGTCTGGATTCGCCAGTTTCCCCTCAAAAACCAAAGACTCCAAATTCCAATTAAATTTTAAATAATATTATAGTAGATAAAGAACCACTCTGTGGTGCTGTTACCAGTAAAAGACTTTATTTGCTATTTTTTTTGTTATAATTATCTATTTATAAATTTGAAACTTAATTTGACTGTGAAACAAATGCAAGAAAAATAGTTTTCAAAGAAATTGGATGTTTTTTACATGTTTTTGTTAAATTTAGTATTTTTCTGTAATTTCCATGAATTTATAGTTTATTTTACCAAATGCAAAAGGCTATGTACTTACAAGTCTTTCTTGTTCCTTCTTTCTCTGTGCCTCCAGTCTCTTTCTTTCTTCTTCTCTGAGGGCCTCACGCTCTTTTCTGTCTTCTCGTTCAGCCTCCATTTGCTAGAGAAAGGATACCACCAATATGAGTTTCAGAAGAGATAAGTTGACTTTGGCAGGGCTAGTTAAATTCTGGTGCATTCCACTGGGATGATCCAAATCAGGATCACCAATCCGAGATCACTCGGATCACAGCACATCAAAGGATCTGTTAAACAGACACTGGGAAAGGATAACTATTGTTCATTTGATGTACCAAGATCCAAGTGATTCTCGGATCTCTGATCGAATCACCCCAAATGAACCGATCCTTAGCAGTGCAGTAGTCTGCAGGATCTTAAATAAACTGAGGTAGAAGGTGCTTCTATTGTTCTGCAAACAGCGAGACCTTTGTATGGTTCAGAAAAACACAAAGAAATGGCCATCCAATCTCAAGCATAGGATATAAAATCCTCCTGAGTTTGTACTTAGGGCTCAATAATTATGTTGACACTTAATGAAAAAAGTCTCTCTTGTGTTACTTTTTTATTTACATCTGAATACATTTGAAGACTTTAGGCAGTTGAATCTTGCGTCCATACCCAGCAGATAAAAGAGTGGCCATATACATGTAGATTAATGGTGTTTAGTCATGTACATTTAGATACAGAAAGACCCTTTAACGTCAACTTGCCACAAAACCTTGACACTCTTTTTTTAACATCTTCATGACTAATTTGAACAGTGTGTGCAAAGTATGTCAATTATCAAAATACAACTGATCGCACCTCCCTTAAAATCCTCTTCTCCTCCTTCATCTCAAGCTTTCGCTGTTTTTTCGCTCCAATCTTACCAACAGGCATCTGATTATCAAGTCCCATCGAGTAGCCTCCTTCATCACCAGCACCTATGACAAGAAATGCCTCCTATCAGTGATAATATTTCAAAATGCCGGTATTTGTTGAGTTAGCACACCAGAAAAATCCCAACAATGGATTGGCTAATTTAATAATTAAAAAAAGAATAAATAACAATTAAGTCACAGGAAAAAATAACGGATTCCCATTTTTGGATATTTTAGGGTATTTAAAGAATACCCATAAAAATCCCAAATTTGGCAATGTGAGACAAGTCCCAACCAGGGAATTCCCAACCAAGTTCCCTGGTTGGGACTTGTCTCACTCTTCCAAATTTGGGATTTTTGTGGGTATTCTTTAAATTCCCTAAAATATCCAAAAATGGGAATCGGTTATTTTTTCATGTGAGTGGTAGCACTTCTACAAGTGGTTCTTCGTCTAACATTCCAGATCAACTGGAATTTGAAAATGCTGGTTTTGAGGAGAGAGCAAGAACAGAGTATTCAAAGAAAAACCTCTTTAAGGCAAGGCAAAGACCAACAACTTGAGGGCCACTAGTTATTCAGTCGAAGTATTGTCCAATGTTACCCTCATTAAATAAAGTTGATAAAAATTATTATTATATTATTACAACAATGTCAAACCACATGTGGTGTTGCCCTTGGGGTTCGAGTACAAGCCACATTGGAGAGAGGTACTCACCCATGAAGCACTTTTGGACCTCTAACTGTTGAGGTCCAAAGAGTGGTCTATGTCAATTTTCCCCCAATGCATAATCAAGAAAGAGGGTTGTAAGAATCCCAAAAAAAGACCACCTTATGGAAAATGCATTGATCTTAAACCCAATTCTCTTAACCAATTTTGTAAGGAAATGTATGAAGATAAGTCTAAAGAACTTGTATATAGATAGCAGGGCTTAAGGGGCTAATTTGGCCCATAAATTAAATATATTAATATCATACTATTTTCTTTCAATTATATCAACTTTATCAATCAACTGAACAGACCATCATATTCATCATCATCATAATCATCATCATCTTGTGCTCTTCTGGCATTCATTCTTGACCGAGCATTTCTGACTCTTCTCCTTGCTCCGCCCACTTCTCCTGCATTGTCAATCCCTTCTGGCTGCCTAGATGCACCTAGCATCAATAAAAGATTTTTTTTATTTCTACCAATTTGATTACATATTCAGATGGAAGACTTCACTTAAGGAGCAAAGTGTGAACCGCAGGGATTCCATGGAAACTTTTTTTACTTATTGATATAAAAAGTTGCCAAGGCTACAAGTGTCTTCAGATTTAACCAAAATTTCAAATCTGATTCCAATGTTTAAGTGATGAGATGCTCCTTTCTGTGTTGTTTTTAATCCTGTCTAGTAAAACTGCACTTCAAGATCAATTTGCTTGGACTGATGCTGCCAATGAATTTATTTACAAGAGAAGAAACCAACACACTAAAATGGCAAAATGTCTCATCCATTGAGAATGGAATAGAATGCAGATACAACAGGAAGCAAAAGGAAAGGAAAATAATATTAACTATGTTCCCTCTAACTTCTTCACGACTATTCTATGCTGCCAAACCTGTTTTAAATTCAAACCCCCCTTGGTAAGAAGTACAGAATTTAAACCTTCACAGGATACGTTAACTAATTCACACACAGGGCTCCCAAGTTACATAGATGATTGAGCCAATCATCATCTCTCCTTAATCAACAACACAAGAGTTCAACATTTGTTGATTACACGACAATGGTTACGTTGCCGTTTAACAAGTAGCAACTTGTTGAACAGAAGCCATAATAAAATCTTATTCAACAGTTTTCAACATTTGATGAATGGCCAGTTTCAACATCCAACATTGACATGGTACATGTACAGTACAGTGTTGAAAACAAGAAATGAACAGGACAGCATATTTGTTGATCAATAAATTTACTTCCACTCAAATGTTATGGTTTATTATTGTTTTCAATAGTGGCATCTTCTTGTATATTACTTAAATACCACCACTGCAACTTGGTGATGAATAAGATCAGAATATTATTACACACATGGTCCTCTGTACGTGCATGCGGGATATAAATTTTAATCAAGTACTGTTAAGCACCACGTTTATTTTGTTAATTGTGATAAAAGTAATTGAAATTGAAACACTGACATAGTAAATGAAATTTCCTTGTGTTACGTATACTACTGTCATATCCGTAGAAAGTTGGTCAATAGAATTTAAGCTTATGAGCTTCTAAAGCTGACGTAGCAATTGATATAATTAAGTTCAAAAGCGGCATTTTCCCTTCCCTCGAACATTATCTCCCAAGGATAATGAAATACTTACCCTTCTTCTTCTTCTTTTGATTTCTGTTGGCTACAAAAGTAGCAATAAGCAAAGCAGTTCCCACAATCGCGGCTATAATAAGCCAAATTACAGCTGGATGCATTGCCGCCATCTTGATTGCCTTTTTGTAAAGAAAGCCGCGAAAAACTGGGTACCAAAGCAAAACCCGTCCCACCCCTCCTCAGTCAATTACTTGGGGAGGGGCGAATTAGGAGGGGCCGCGTTGTGAATTCTTTTTGTGTTTAACATCATTCTGTAAGTTTTAAGCTTATTTATGAACAAGTCAACTAAATAAAGTAACGAAAGCCTTAAGCTTAATTTGCATTTGTGAACAAATAACTTTTTCAGCGGTTTTATCGATAAATGCAAGTCAAAAAGACAAAGCTTTACCTTCGTCACCTTCTCCGTGTATTTCGGGAACAGCTTGCTTGATTAGTTGCGAAATTTCTTTGTTTATTACGGCAGAAAACCGGAAGGGCATTTTGCTCGCAACTTACGCGAGTTTGGCGTCGCTCGCTCGAAGGACCTGGAGGTAAATCAGTGAATAGTGCAGGATATTCACTGATTGAGTAGCCAATCAGAGGGCGCGAAAAACACTATTCACTGTTTTAGCACTATACTAAACCCAAATCATCTGGTGCTATTCTGGTTATGGTTCCGCATAGAAAATTCAAACATAGCCTGCTCTAAGGAAGTCGACAGGCCACTGGCAAGCCAAAGAAGAAACGAAGTAGCTTTATTAAAGTTTAAAGCAAATGTCCTCTCGGGACTATTTTCCTCTAAAATGGGCGAATACTAATACACCACACATGACGTTTCTTCTAAAACCGATAACTTTGTACCCTCAACTTCCGCTGTTTTAAAATGATTCATACTTGTCAGTCGTTTTTTTCTTTTTTCAATAAAACACAGTTGCAATTTATTGCGAATGGGTTAACCACAAGAGTAAGCTTTCGGGTAGAGTACGAGTAATCCCCATTTTTCCTCAGGGAGAGTACAGCGAGCGAAACGCTAGCGCGCGTGAGAATCACCCCACGCGAGAAAAGGCCCGCCGCGTGTCGCCTTTTCTCGCGTTGGGTGATTTTCACGCTCGCTCGCGTTTCGCTCGCTCTACTATCCCTTAGGAAAAATGGGGACTACTCGTAGTCTACATAGCTTTCGGACCATACAGCTGACTGCATGTAATAAACCAACCAAAACCCAAAAAAGTAAATGAATAAAGCTGAACAAAGAAACCATTTTTCATATATTTTGCATATTAGGGGCAATGATGTCTTTTTGCCGTTTTTATCTTACCTATTTGCGGGTATTTCAGGGTATTCCTGGATTTCATACATGCTGGCGACTGTATTCATATATCACGAAATTCAAGCTTAACATGTCAGGATGAGTCACGTCGCTATCAAAAGATATAATTCTTTATTATTCAAAATATGAGGTATACATAACGCAAAATATCAAAACTATCAAATACTCTCTCTTGAATTATAGGAAACGGGACTCGGACGAATGAAAGGCGGGAAACGCTGTTAAGAAGGCCTCGATTCTGAGTATGCTACTTAAGAAGGCTGGAAACAGTTTCTAAAATCATGCTTTCTCCAGGTCATTCCAAGTCTTAGTTTTTCAAAGGTGAATAGTGCAATCCATTGGAAAAATCACTATCCAGAGAAGAGATAGTAGGGAACAACCAATCGCATTAGACTTAGCCGGTGGATGACGGCGGCGCTATCCAACTTTTTAACAACATGGACCGTCTCAAAGAAGAACAACAATTTTGACGCCCCTTCCCCGTCACACATCAAGGCCTAGTGATAAATGTTAACTCTATCTTGAGTAATAATCCTAGAAAACATACAATAATTTCCACCCAACAACGAGCGTTTCATCAGATTCAAAGCATAGTTAACTTAAATATTAATTGCATTATTACTAAAATCTGCTATGTACAATACTGCTAAATAACCGTAGATATTTCATAGCACAATTAACCCATTCACCCTGTACAAATCTCTACAACGTACCAAATGAACTCGCAATATTAAGAAAGACTGCGTTTCATCATGGCAAACTGCGCTTATCTAGAGCGTCCCTTTCAATAAGGCTCATTCAAAAATACTTTAATACTTGTTTAGTTTCCCCTCCTACCTACAGTCTCGGACAAAAATAGTTGGGACACTTTTTAACGCAAACGCCTTTTTTTCCCTTCTCGTGCTTCCCTTTTCCCTCCCAATGTTGTTTATTGCGATTCAGTCACCAAATCGTGTACACCAACATTGAGGCGACAAGAAGACACAAAAATGTCCCAACAATTTTAACTGAGACTGTAGGTACTTAATATTGAATATATACTATCTTACAAAATACTAATGCACAGTTGCAGTGATACAAAAATACAACTCTGATGTGAAAATAAGGTTTCTTCAACATACTTAAAAACTTAATCTTTAAAGATTAGAGTGATCATTACCACTTTGCTTTATATTATTCTAAACATCTAAACTCTACACGAAAAACTCGATGAAGTACTAAAGCGATTTCAAAGACAAACGAGTCCTAATACAGATTCGCTCAGTCACAGACTGTTTTACTGTCAATTACGTTTAACAAAAAGATAATAGAGACATTTAGATTCACGAACGAGGACGAGATCTGACTTAAAGTTTTTCCCGTGTATTCTCGAAAGATATACACCCCAGAAAACTTCATTATACTCATTTTTCACCAGAAAAGTTAGCACGGTTATTGAAGGAGGTTCAGCTCTCTCCCGATCACAGAATGATAAAACTTCTAACTTCTGATAATTACTCGGCCTTCCAACCAAAAAATGCAATTCAAGTTGATTCCCTCCCCCACCCCCTCCCTAACAGTGTTGGGTGTTACAAGTCAAACATCTTTTACATATCTTGCACACGTTAAGGATCTCAACTTTGCTGGAGGGGGTAGAGGGGAAAATCTTGTTAAGGTCGTGTTTATGAGCATGTATCGCCGGTTAGCTGCAAATTTTATACAAAATGACGTGAAAAAGAGGAGGTGCCCAAAAACCTCTTGGCCGGGATTGTAGTTTGAATTCTCCTAGACAAAAAAATTCAGTAATTAAGCTATACAAAAATATAGGCGCTTTCCAACGAGCGAAAACGCGAAGCATCAGATGCAGTGAACCTATAATTAACTGGACCGAACCACCCTAAATAATTCTTGATCATTCAATTCCCAGTCAAAGAATAATTGAGGGCTAGTTTGCATATCGGCCATCACAGCCTCTGGCCAGGAAGCCTCAAGCTAGCAGACACCTGGCTGGGCGACAGTGATCTTACTATTCCCACACCTCATTAGTGTGATATGAGTATTGATGGTTACTTCTTTGGACAAGCAGCTGTCAGAGTTGTAGAGCCTCCTGTCTTGAGATCAACCTGGTGTTGGCTGTAGTAGTCAACCAGTTCCACAATTGTGTCAAATTGCTAGAAAAATATATTTAAAAAATACATCAATCCACAAGACTTACACTTAAGTTTTTTTTCAGAGTTCAGGTACCAGATTTAACATAATTCCGGCCTGAAAAAAATAGAGAAGTGTGACGTCCCGTTACCATGGTAGCAAAATTTCTCGACCACAACAATAGCGAGCTTAACCAACATTGACGGCGGCGGTAACATCAACGAGAATGGCAGAAAGCAATGGGTTTAAATTAGTAAAACAACAACTCTGCACGTGTATCACGCTTTTGTACATTACTTAGTCGACGTTGAACGACTGCAACATGAAACTTCCTAATTTCACGCGCCCGCTTTATAGAGTAGGTTAACACAACAAAAAATGTCCTTTTTCTTTTTCTAACTTAGATACGGCCCTTTCGAATTCAACCCCCCAAAAATTCGCCAATATTGACAAATTACATGAAACTGAATAAGATCACTTTTTAAGTGACGTTTTCGGTTTGTTGTCATCCAGAATATTTGCTACCATGGGAACGTGACGTAACGAATTCTCCTCTCTATTAGACATAACTCATTTTATGAGATCGCGTTGTTATGCGCATGAGTTTCTTATTTTCAAAAGACAAAGGAACAAACCTCCTGAAGATATTAACTGATGTACAATAGGTAGCATTTAGAGCGACAACCAGAGCTTGGCAGGGCGTTAACACGAACACCGAAAGAACGGTTGGTTGGTCAGTGAGTCATTCAATCAGTCAATCATAAGTCATTCATTCAATTGGGCACGACTGGTAGGCACGTCAGCAAGTTTCTCGCTAACAAGACTCTTAAGTAAAATCGGTCTTTTAGTCAGTCAGTTGTCCAGTATTTCAGTTAATCATATCTCCACCGAGAGGTTTTTTTCTTTACTTATACATAAACACAAACAAAGTAAAACGTTACCACTTTCCCACTGTCTCCAAGTACAAATTTTTCCTTGGTTCGAGGTATTCTGCAACGTGAGAAGAATTAAAAATGATTCAATAGCACAGGATTTAAATCTTTGTGAACAGCAGAGCAAAAGAGGTATACCAGGGTGGCAGAAAATCGCGGTTTCTTGCCCTACTCTCCCTGACGAAAACAAAAAACTTCTCATAGTCTAAGCTCATAGAAACTACCACCATCTCATTGACAAAGCATGATTTTATGTTAAAGAAGTGAAGCTAGTAGCTAAGGATAAATCCCAATTCTAGTTAGTCCACAAGTCCTCCAACGCAATGAAGTGGTTTCGCGGTACCCGCAATGACCCAAGCCACGCCTAAGACATAGTCTGTAAGGTGTCACTTAACTATAATCATTACGGGTCATTTTCATGCATAATAGCGCATAGGGCGCAAACAAAAGCTCTCATTGCTTGAGTAACTGTAACCAACATGGTTTAACGAGAACGGGCTGGTATAGAGTCCAGTTCAGCCCGCAAGGTGAACAAGCAAATCGTAGAAGAAAACAAATAAAAAGAGGCAATGTTTTTGTCACCTAAGATGCCGAACACTTCCTCTGAGATAGAGTGACATTGAATAATTGTTGAGATCCCTGGAACTGTTGCGTACAATGAACGCTCCATCCTGTGAAGCAAAAACAACAACAATTACAAAAACGCCAGGGTCAGAATTTTAACAAAAGAAAATGAAAAAAAAAATGAGCAAAAATAGATACCCTGCGTGCGCCGGTGTTTTCAGGGCGAAAGGAGAGATTTCGAGGACGCGCGCCGGCGCGCATGAACGGAGAGAAGGAGAGGAGCCCCCCTCTTCGCCTCGCGTTTTCCCCTCCGCACTCTGTGAAGACTAACGTCAAAACTAGTAAATACGAAAGGTTACGGAATGCAGGCGAGAACGATCGAAGATTTAAACGCTCTTGCTCCAACGATGTGCATAAGTTTCATGTGATAGATGGTCTAAGCCCGCAGGAACAAATTACGAGCGCTAGAAGGACCAAACGCGCGTTCTATTCGTCCCACTTATTCTAAGTGGAAGTCCAAACGAAGCTGGCTACATACGTGCCGTGCATGCGTAATAGCAATCTGAAGATTAGGACTCAGGGCTCCTCTTGTCGCCCGCAACCAACCGGCGCCTGCAACGCAGGCGAGAAAAAAGAAAAATAAAACGAAACATTTTAAAGTACAAAGGCACACAGACCTTGGAGAAAGATTTTAAGGCATCTTCTGCTACCTTCTTGTCCAAAGGCCCATGGAACCAGGGAGAAGTTTTCAGCTGATCAACAGGTGACTAGAGATAATAATAAAATTTATAAAATGAAAGGTGCCCCTTTTTTATCTGACTTTAGACAATGAAGCACATGCTACGCGCCCTGTGATCGGTCGTTGCCCATGATCTGATAGGCTGATTTAGCAACAGAACGGGAAGGTCAGTTGATGACAGCGCGCGCAAATACAAAGAACTTGCTTGAACAATGGGAGAGCGGCACTTGGGCGACTCCTTTAAATGCACTTTTCCGTCGTCAACTGACGTTCAATTTTTTGTTGCTAAATCAGCCTATTAAAGTACAGACGCACGGATGACGTCACGGGAAACTTCTTTTCTTTGGTTTGTCCAACAATGGATGAGCAATGGCGCGCAGTTTTGAAAATTTTGCGAGATTATATCGGATTAAGCAAGTAAAGGCAGTTCATATGATGTTATTGCCTAGTCAAAAGCCTTCTTCTTCGTATTCGCTTTTAAAATTTGTTTACGTCACCGGCATTTTACGCCATCCCTCAGAGTTTCTCCCTCTCCTAGGAAAAATCCTGGATCCGCCCCTGAGGACCTTACTTAACACAAAGACTGGGACCTTACCTTTGGTTGTGATGGAAGAGGACGAAGACCCTTGGGCGGACTTGTAGGTTCGTCTACAACACAAAATAAGACAAGCAAAAAAATTGTAAGAGCTTGGTTTCCGTATATCGGAAAATCCCAGACAATCGAGAAATTAAGCAGAATTTCACTCCGGCTCCAAATACTTGCGATACTCATCACCTTCCCCGCCCCAAGCATATGTGTACCACCTTTGCAAAATCACTGGTTATTTTCAGTACAGGATGAATTGAAAAATTCCTTTACCTGGTTTGCTTGAATCGCTGAAGAGACAACAATAAAAGCAAGAACACATTAATCACCCTTACAACTACAATCTGAATCGTGATAAATTCGTTAATTGAATGCTCTAAAAATAATCGAGAAAAATAAACCCGGATTAAAATTTAACCTCAGGTTAGCGCTAATCGGCCTTTGAACAACTGGGTTCAGGTCTGGAACGGGGGTCCTGATCCAGCGCGCATTCCCACTCCTACACATGAGAATCCCGCGTCCCGTACCTCTGTCAACGAAATCCCGAATATCGTTTTCTTTCCCAATCCTGTATCCATGCCGAAATTTCGGAGAATCCCGTTTCCCCAGAAGCAATCAAATCCCGTAACCCGTTAACGTTTTCTGAAACCCGCACTGTATTTCAGTCAAATTCCGTAGCCTGACCCTTTCATAACAGCTGGCTTGCTGTACATTGGCCACAATCCCTATTACATTTTTACTAACGATCTCTATATGAATACGGAATGAATTGCATCCAAGAAAATTTAATAGAAAAAGCCGAAAGCTCACGTTTAGGATTACAATAAAAATCATACAGTTTTTCAAAATTGAAATAGATAATAATAGTAAAATTGGGCATGATTCCTAAAAAACAGGGTCCTTACTAATAAAATTCACGGCATACTCATTGTCTTTATGATTGATCAGACAAGAAAAAATGCAACTATATTAAGTTTCAAAACAAACCTTAGTCTTGAGGGCTTCGTAGGAGGAGGCTGTGAAAAAAATACAGTTGAATGGTTTATTTTCGTACCACCGCTGTGTCTGACTGTTCAGCTGCCAAGAAGAATGGCAGAAGAAGTAAAGAAAGAAAAAATATCCATTCGGGTCGAAGAAAAAGGAACAAGAAATCAATGAAGGCAACAAAAAGAGGAAGAAGAAAATCTTTGAGTAAGAGATTAAGTATAACATTCCAGGAAATTGCCAAACCATCCCTCCCCTAATACAACGTTAAAAATACTAATTTCTCACTTAAGGCAAAATGTTTGACTAAGGGAGGGGTGATGGGCACTTTCCGCAGAGTCTTGTGTACGTAACAGACGCCGACGACGATCAGCAGGCAATCATCGACAAACTCATTGAACGAATCAGATTGCGCGATTTTACCACACAAAAGCGCACTGTTCTAGACAGACAAAACAGAGTTTAAACAAAGACGTTTTTGAGCTACCCAAGCCAACCGGACGCAAGGCGTTTTCCATTTTAGAGTGCCTTGACGCTACCAAATTTTAACTGTTAAGTGTCTTTACTATCATAACGACTATTTGCTTAAGATTTGTATAAGTAATAGCATGATTAGTAATGATATTTGACATAAATACCACAAGTGATATTTCAAAATTGTTGTACGTAATTTCACGAGCCGTTAGGCGAGTGAAATTTGAGACAATTTTGAGATATCACTAGTGGTATTTATGCCAAATATCATGTACAAATCACGCTATTATTTGTTTATACTACTACCCGCAAAAGGTTTGTAATTTTCATCTCTGGGAATTTCAAATTAAGCCGAAATACCACTGTTATAAGCCAATCAAACTGCAGAAATTTCTCATGTAGTAGTATGATGGGTAAAACCACTGCCCAAGAATACAAAAGTCCACTTCTAGTTGACGAGCGTAACTCAAAAACGCCTTCACTTAAACTCTCTCAAGTTAAATAGCGGGTCTGAGACTAAAAACAGTGCGAAAAAAAACACCTTCAGAGACCACATGAAGCCCCAGATTAATTCGACTGCGATTTTCGTAATATGACTCCAATTTGCTATCTGCGGTGATTCAAATGTCTAAACTTGCGTGGAAAATTGTTGACTGCACCATGACTACCACGAGGCATACCTTATTAGCAGCTGTTTTAGACCCTGGTCTAGGAGGGGGTGGTGGGGGTGGTGAGTCTTCGGCCGCAGATGTGGGCCCTCCGAGCATTGAGATCCTGAAAGAAGGAAAGAATGAAAATTACAAAATCTTCCTAAATAATTCGCACCCCCGGGGGGGTGGACTCCGCATATAAAAGGGGTGGCGATGCTCGTCGGAAATTTAATCACTCGTATGATTACAGACCGAATTGGACTCCACTCAGTCCTGTTACCATTACTTATTATTATTATTAAAGCGAAGTTATGTGGAAAGCTATTGATATGAAAATTATTTTTTATTCTCATGCAAATGAAACTCATTATCGCAAGAAAAGTTTTGCACTTAGCCTCGTTTTGAAAGTGAGAAATTTGAAACCCGGAAATGGACTGTTGTCGTCCCTCCTTCGTCTTCTCCTTCGCGCGTTTGCCTCGCTTGCTCGCACGTAACATCCCAGCGCACGCGACAATCCTGAGGGAATGCTAGCGCAGACTAGGTGACATACAAACACTGGATGTTTAACCTGTCTTAGGCTGAAATCCTTCTAAGCAGACACTTTCTCTGGTCTCAGGATCTCTGCTGATGGGCTGTTCGACTGTATTACACGTTTACAATACACTACTTTTCAAACTCTCAAGTCTTGGTCTAGTCTGCTACACAGCCGTTTTTAGTGTCGTCACGCAACGACACGCCGTTGCGTGACGACTCTAAAAACGGCTGTGTAGCAGACTAGTCTTGGTCAGGATCCTGTACATGAATCATACCTTGAAGATTGAGTGTTGCTGTTGGTAATGTTATTGTTTTCTTCTTTCTTCGCTGGAGCAGTTGGAGGCGTATGTTGAGAATTACCTGGCTTCGGCGAAGGCGGAGACAGCACGTGCGATGATGGTCCTCTCGCTGCAGGAAGTTTTATGGGTCCTAGAAATCAAGAGGATAGACTTAAGGATGAACGTAAATGTACGCAAACCAACTTTAGCTCACTTTCGCATGATTCTAAATATCAAATATGTCCCCTTGGTCTGCCAGCTACTAGTGATATATCACTTTTTAGTTCATAAATGAATGCGCGGTGCTCCGTTGTTAAAGGCGTCAGAGTTAACATCTGGAAGTTAAGGTTTAAAGGGCAGTAGCACGAGAAATCCCCCAAGTACTCGCGTGAATCACAATACACGCCTTTGCTTAGGGCGCGCTTTATTCTTTTAAGCGAGTACTATTATAGTATCGATTTCGGATGAGAAAGCACAGACACGTTTAAAGGTCAAATGAACCAAAAATTCGACATTTTTTATTTTAGTTCAATTCTAGTGAAATATGAACCGAATAAACAAACTATGAAGTTTCAGCTCAATTGAAGCAAGCATCTCTGAGATATTTGCAATTAAAAATTGTTATTTTTTGGCCCTTATCTTCGTAGAGCGGTCGGAAAAATTGTCGTTAAGAACAGTTTGTGACGTCAATGTTGGTCAGCTGAAAAAAGCGGGAAATTCAATACAGTGTTTTTCGAGTCGACTTGGCGCAGAAATTGTGGTGGTTTGTGCGGCCATAAACCTAGAAAGAGCAAGCAATTTGTCTTCAAAAGTTACAAGCTGTGGTTATAACCTTATTATTTAAATTTCTCGAAGAATACATCATAGTAAAATAGACTTTCACAACGGCATTAATTTCCTTGCACTGTACTGGAAATGTGCGTGCATAGGTCCGATTTTTTTCAAAATGAATTCACAAATGTGTTCATTTTAGGACGTTTCTGGATATATAAGGTCCGGAGCTCCACTGTGGACACAAAAACAAAATATCTTTGTATAGTGATTTGTCCAAAGAAATTCACGCTTGCCCAAAATGTTTTTGAAGTTATTGAACTTTGTCGCACTCGAGCTGATATTTTAAAACCCAGGCTCGATCGGACACTTGCGCTTCGCAAAGCACTAAAATATAAACAAAATCCTCAATGTAGAAGTTTTGGCGTTGATATGTTGGCAGAAAAAGAGTTAATCTTTATCTAGTAAAATCTTTCCCAAAATCGGTTTCAAAGCAACTACAGTTTTTTAAACTTGATCGTTTCGCACAGATAAAGTTTCCTTTGTGTTGTCAAGTTGAACATGCATAACACCTGTCAAAAACCAAGTAAGATTTCCTTCAAACAAAGTTGAAGTTACATTATTGCGAAAACTTCTCTCCAGTTATGTCTATGATTCAATTACCGACCGAGGTCACTTTAAGGACCATAGACGCCACTTTTAGCTCGCAAAGAGAGGCGAAAGCAAAGAACAATTCCATCATGCATAAAATTCAGCTTAAGAGAACTAAAAAAAAGCTTCAGTGATAAGGTTGCAAAACAACAAATTTCCATTCAAAAAAACATAAGGCTTAAGGCTCTTATACCCGCTGACAATGAAGAAGTGAATTTTCTGTGCAAAATAACCTACCTAAAGATCTTAAAAGCAAAAGATGAGTTGCAAGCTTCGCACCCAATCCATGATTCACCATTTAGCTATATTTAAAAACTGGTCCACGCGAGGGTCTTCATTCAAGCAAATTAAACTCAGCAAAATGAATTATTAGAAAATACAGAAAACTGCACATAAGGATTTGTTTTGCTCGCTTCAGTCAAATCCAGCTCCAGCAATTGTTTACAGGCAAAGAGTCGATTGTTTTGGAGTCACTGCCGGCAGTTGTCGTTTTCCAGATTCTCCACTACTTCAAAGCGAATGAAAGGAAGATTTGCGTACAGAAAGATAACAAAACTATGTAATTAAAACTAAAAAAACTAAAGGAAAAAACTCTGACTATTATTACTTGAGCAACAGAAAATGATCGAAGTAGTCTTTTCTTCGCGAGTAAGCTTGCTGGCCTTCTAAAGTTCCGAGAAAGTTTCATAGTTAAAACTTAAAAGCTTAAAAAGCGCACAAGGTTGTTCACTCGCATGCGTTAGCCGTTACGAATCTTTGACTCAGTGAAGACAAGGATAAAGCTGGTTCTGCAAAGGTAAATAAATCTGGGCATATAAAAAAAGTAACCATAACTACTAATAACAGAATACAAGCAGGTTTTAATTCAACCCGGCGAAAGAAGGCGAAGCACTGGACACAAAATCAAGTCACAAATCGAATCAGAAAAATACAAACCTGTTTGGAAATGTTCAAAACGTTTTATTCCACCTCAGACTGACGTAATGACCTGTTTTTACTCTAACATTGGTTGTTCTGAATCCCAAGTAATTTTCAAGTGACGAAAAAACGACAACAACAAAAACAAAAAAGCCTTTACAAGGAGCAAACGTTCGCACCTCGTGCATTTTATTCAGTCTCAGTCAAAACTCTCACAGAACGAGACAAACAAACGCAGGCGATAAGGGATGCACAGAAGCAGGGCGGATAAAGGTTATCCGCCCTGGCACAAGCTTGCGCAGAACGTTTTTCCTCCCTGAAAGACCAACATTGACGTCACGTAGTCTCCAGCCTATCACGCGGCCATTTCAGAAACGTTTTCGTGAAGTCTTCGGAAATGCTCGGATTTTGATCTTTTATCTTTCTATAAAGGCTTGGGAAGAAAAATCTTTACCCAAATCTCACTTAAGATGTTTCTTTTTAGTGTTTGGTGAAGGTAAAGCGACAAAAGAAAATATTTCAATTTTTTAGTTCATTTGACCTTTAAGCTTTTTACAAGGACAGAAAATAGCGTGACAGAGCCCTTTTGAGCTATGGAACGTGTTATTTGAGCTATTGTTATGTTCAACCTATCAGGGAGTGATAGTCTGTACGTAGCACACCATGGTATACCCTGGTATACCCTGGTATACCCAAGCAGATCCTACCAGGCAGCAATGTAGGTTAGCATTAGCTAACATCGGCTGAAGTCAGATTGTTTCTTTCAGTAAAATTACATGAAGAACAACTTAAGTCCAACTTTACTGTGTAATATAAAAGTGAAATAGAAAAACTCCACTGTGATGCTTTGAACCCGGGTCACTTGCTTTATAGCCTACATCCACATCCACTACACCATCGAGGAATAGCTGCCAAATCCAGTAATTTTTAAAATATACATGTTCTTAAGCCGTACCCCATTACAATATTTGAAAGCTAACTGTTTTCAGATCAGTACTTAACTCTCTACTGTGTTCTCTCCATAACTGGAGCTCCGTAGTTTTGGTTTCTTCAGCTATTCTAGCTTCATTCTACATTCCAGTCTCGTCTCATTATGGAAATAATGCCTTGTGTAAAATTCATAAGGTGTCTAATCTGGCTTCACTCGATGTTATCTAACGCTAACCAGCAATGTATTCGTCACCTTAGAAACTGGAACCAGTATGCGGCCCGCAATAGTTTCTGGGATTGTTACTAGGGATGCGTCGATCAGTTATTGGTCAATTTTTTTCCCTGTCCCTAGTAACAGTCCAAGAAGTCTTTGCGAAAGTTAACTCGACCCAGTTTTCTTCTCGTTTTTAAAGTGGCGAATAGAATAGAGAGAAGTCGTTACGTCACGTTGCCATGGTGGCAAAATTTCTGGATGACAACAAACCGAAAACATCACTTAAACAGCGAATTCGCACTGTTTAAAACTTCATCGATCTTACTCAATTTCATTCAATTTGTAAAATCTTGGCGAAATTGTCTAGGGCTGAATCCGAAAGGATCTGGTTAAGAAAACGAAAAAGATAATTTTGTGCGGCGTTCGCCAACTCCATAAAGCGGGCGCGTGAAATTAAGAAGTTCTATGTCGCAGACTTGCAACGACGGCTAAGAAATGTACAAAAAAAGCATGATGCACGTGCAAAGTTGTTGTTTTGCTAATAATATAAGCCGATTGCTTTTTTGCCGTTCTTGTTGCCGTCGCCGTCGTCGTTGCTTAAGTTCCTCATTGTTGTGATCCAGAAATGTTGCTACCATGGCAATGTGACGTCACTCTTCTCCTCTCTGTTAACACTTATCAAGCAAATACCTGTACTATTGGGACTGGGATACAGCCTTGATCCTCTAGGCTGTTGTTCTGGTGTTTTTTTCACAGAAGTAGCCTTCTGTGCTCCTGGCTTTGGACTGATATGAGGTTTGTTAGGCGCTGGCATGGGTTTGGCTATAGAAACAAAGTAACAACAGTTCAGTGACAATTGAAACATGGGGTGAGAATTACAGAGCTCGGAAAAAAAAAAAATTCCCCCACCCCCCTCCCCGCCCAGTCCGATCGCCGGCGACAGCAACTTCATTATTTTTTTTAATTGCTACTTTAAAAGTTGAAGCAAATGGCTAACTCGTACCTGGTTTGACTGGTTCCTTTGGAAGTGGTTTTGCGGCTTTTTCAGTAAATGATAACTTTCTTAAAGGGTTCCATCCTTTTTCTCTCGGTGGAGGGCGTGCTGGCAGAGCTAACAAGAGTTTTCCAAGTTAACAATGGAGAGATTTAGATTCAAGATTAAGTTTAAAACTGTGCAAGACAATTGTTATTGACAAAACTAACGTAAAGCTACTGATTTTGAAGTAGAAGTAGTGAACAGTAACTGAAGCACAAGTTAAGTGAAAACCTCACCACGTCGTACAAATTCACGTTTGCCGTTAGCCATAAACGCGACTCTAAATCTCGATATTTTTATTACAAGAATAAAAAATGGCGACATGAGATGTAACTGACACATCAGCTAGATCCTCCATGCTATCTTAATTATAACATAAACTGGTACAAACTGGGACTCTTTGCCCTTAACGTCACATTTGGTTTTCTAAGGGCCTGTTTACATGGAGTGGGGGACCCCGGTCTAGTGGGGTTGGTTTCTTTTGTTTTCACGCTCTGGGGGAAACAAAACAAAAGAAACCTACCCCACTAAAACTGGGACCTCCACTCCACGTAAACAGGGTCTAAGTCGCGAGTTTTTGAATAAAAACTCAATAGTGTTACTATTCAAATGAATTACCTCCTCATTTATCATCACCATCGTCATTTGTATGTTACCGTTTTCATTGTCACCAACATCATATTATAATCATGATATTTAATCATAATCATCACCGTCAACAATTGCTTTTGTGCATTCTTTCTAGCTTATTTTCAAGTGTCTGTGTCATGGCTGACTAGTTCACTTTGTTAATAATGCCAATAACACGTCCTTATTCGCTATGAAACTTGAGAAATTACTGTGAATGACAAAATCACAGATTCGTGTCAAACAAATATGTCTCCCGCGCAGGCAATACTTCAAACAACAAAAATGAACTTTGGCAAACTGATAGGCTAACAAGTCCTCAAAAAGCACAATTGCAATTCGCCTTTTAAAATCTTCTTGGAGTTTGTCAATCCATACCTCCTTTGGTATTTGCTGTTTCATTTATACCTTCTTCAATCGTTTTCCGCGGTTATTTTAATGTTTCACCCAATTTGTTAGCAGTTCCCATAGTTTGAATTTCGAGACGAAAAAGCTCCTTTAATTTATGTTATTAAAACCTTTTGACAATAACTACACATGTAGGAGGGTCAAATGGGGTGAACACGAGACCTAGGCAACTTTGGCTACCCTTCCTTAACAACAGCAACCCCATTTAGATCCCAGATCCTTTTTCAAGCCAGGGCACAGGGTTTGAATTTACTATAGCCAAAAGGAGATTGAGTACAGCGTACATTTCAACTTCCAATATTAAAGCTGGTGTTCAAACCTGCCCCCCCCCCCCTCCCCTGTTACACATTTTACTACATTTCTTCTCTCGCCCTCCCCGAGCTTCGCGAGGTTCTGCGATACCACGCATTTCTAGATAACTGATTTGTAACTCATTAAATGTATTTTCGTCCATTCTCACTTACTATTCTTACTTACTAACTACTACCATCATAACTACCTGGTTCTGGTTCAGGTATCTCATATGTTTCCGGTTCCGGCTGTCCCGATTGTTCGGGAATCTCATAAGTTTCTTGTGATTCATTTTGTGGAATTTCATAAGTTTCTTGATCGGCGTAAGAGCTACCAATCGGTGGTTCAAATGGTTCATATTCTTCGACAACATGTGAATTCCCCGGCTGCTCATTTTGTGGGTATGGTTCATATTCTTCAATGACTTGTGAACAACCTGGCTGGTCGTCTTCTGGTACTTCATCATATATTTCCTGCAACGTAATACATATAGACTATGTAGTACACATACAAACGGCTTATAGTCGTGATCGAGTCACATCTTCATATATCAACAATTTTAATCTTCTCCTTTCGAACCACCCGTGCTTCGTTTTCTCCTTTCTGTATATCTTTTGTGTTCTTCTACAATTTGAAGCAGTTTTTTTGATATTTCATTCTATCTGTTAAGTACTGAAATCGCCTAAAAATGGCGTGACCTGACTCTCCCGCAAATAAATCCGTCTGGACCTGACTCGTCCCCATCACACCCCTCGGGCCACCAAGGAGAGATGGAGAGAGACGACTGGGACGAGTCAGCGTCTGGACGGTATTTTAATGCCACGTTGGTTTATGGTTACGTTTACATTCATTTTCAGTCTTTTATTTGTGACATTTGTGCCAAGCGAACGCCTCTGCATTGCAGCTCACAGGACAGAGTAGTCACTAGCAAACTCGTTGATGTCTCAGTCGTCATGAACAACAACCTAAAGCTTGGTATTAGCCGGGTGGAACGTTTCTGTTTAACTCAACAACTTCAAAAAGCTTTTCTCCTCACGACTCTCTGCTATTCCTCACTTTAGAAACTCTAGGGAAAATGGGTACAAGCTTTAGTTGCAGTGACTTCTGGGGTCGTTGGGATAGACAAGCGTGAGTTATGATTGGTCGATGGTATTCAAGGAAACCATTACCCAATCATAAGCAACGCAAGTCCGCCCAAACAATCCCAAATTCGTTGCGCTGAAAGCTTGAACCCATTCCCTTTATAGTTTCTGGAATGACGTTATGGAGAGAAAGAGCATTAAAAGAGAGAAAAGATAGACTTCCTTCCCATTACAATCTGTAACCGCTACAGGTGGTGAACGCTTTAGTTGCTGTAAGTCTCTATTGTGATGAAACGAGAAAAATGCGTATAATTTCGTTTATTTCATATATTTTATAAGCCTCTTTTCTGAGAGACTGAATGGTTGTCAACCAACTAAATCAGTACTTTGCCTGGCCAGCTACTGTATGTACCTTAAATAGGAATTCTATTTATTTATTTCACAAGTTACAGTCCAAATAAAGATTGTTGTCGTTGCCTCCAGTCGACACTGAATCTCTTTAAGTTAAGAATTTTAAAACAATACGAGATTACAAACCGGTTCTCTGGGGGGTGGAGGCTGCCGCATGGGAGGTGGCTTGATGACCTTTGGACCTGGCTTTGGTGGCCGAGCAGGGGGAAGAGGACTAGGACCTATAATTTAAAAAAGACAGAGATCAGCTTTAACTTTAAACTGAAAAAGACATCGGAAAAAAGCGTCAGCCGTACACTTATTCTTAATAATTTCAAGTCAGTTGTTAATATTTACTAAAACTGATCCAGTACCTATATCCTCGTCGCTGCACGTTGGAGGCTGAAGAAACAACAACAACAAAAATATATCATTATTAGAGTGTTTAAATAAACGAATAAAGAAATGCTGTTGAACAATATTTTTCAAAACAAACCAATGGTAACACCCTGTATTTTACACTAGACTGTATATCTATGCAATAGACAAAAATTCTACTTAAGTGGTTTCATTTGGCTTTTTTAGCTCTCAAGTATTTTGCTAGGTTCTGGCATTCTTCCGCCGGGTTTGGGGTGCAAGTGGGCGTGTGGGGCAGAGATTATACTCCCTCCTACATACAGTAAAAACCCGCAAGTAAGAACCTGAAAATTAAGAACCTGTGAGCCTAAAATTTGCCATTTATACCCCCATAAACAAGAACCTACTTAGCCTAGACAATGAAGAACAGGTTCTTATTTTTTAAAATCATATTAGTGAAATGCAGCTGCAAAGCTGTGCAAGAATCCTGTCTGGCGAATGAGGAGCTTGGCATTGCTGTGCAAATAAAAGTGCTAATTTATTGATGTAATAAAAAAATAAAGTGCAAGAGGCTGATTGCCATCTTGTTTTGTAGCTTTTTTTTTTTTTTTTTTTTTTTTTTGGCAGGAATAAGAACCTATTTAAGAACCTAAATAGCCTAAAATTGTGTTAACTACCTTTTAAATAAGAACCTGTTTAGGCTAACTCCAGAAAATGTAGATTCTTACTCGCGGGTTTTTACTGTATTGTAAACTTACCCTAGCATCAATATATTCTCCTGATGTTTCAGATGGGCACCTGATCAGTTTCGATTTAGACATGGGGCGGACTACAATGCCTGCAACGTACATTAGAGTGCATTAGTTGAGAGTACCTCAGGAGTAAAGAAAAATTGATTATCCAATGGAAAGAGATGGAGACTATACAGTTCTGAAAGCAGATCAGGTAATTCCACTGGCCAACTAAGAAAGACTGTTCTCTAAACCTTTCAACTTTTCTCTTTGATCAACCTAATTTCAGTAACGTTACTGTAGGAGCTCTTTTCCAAGGCTTCTATTTTGTTATGCGTGGTGAGAAACGCGCAGTCCAAAACCAGCGAATAGCAAAGGTAGTTTTCACAATGAGTGATGGTGACGCAATTTGCTTTTCTCTTTATTGCGGGCGAGATTTTCCGAGACATGGACGTCAAAAACAAATCAACAACTTTCCATGGTTTGTACCCTTATTGACCATAGATATGACGTCGAAACGTACACAAGTGCTCGACACTAACGCTAGTCCACTAAGCGGCCACGACTAGGGAAACTTAACGCTGGGCGAGTAAAAATGTGCTCCTACTAACCCCTAGGTCCGTTAGTTTAGCGGAAAAAATAAATTTTCATGAGGTTAAATATTAAATATTTATTTAACAGAGTTCACAACAAGGAGCGCGAGCGTGGCCAGCGGTCAGTCGTTTGGCTCAAGCGCGGTCAGCCTTGCTTGCATCGTCTCCATGTGCTCAGTACAGTGTTTTCGTGGCGGCCATTCTCTTCGTTTAGCCTGTGGATCATTCTTTTACCCAATCCCTCCCCCCACTTAATTCTTCCACTGTTCAATCAGTGTGACGGGTGCCTGGTTCCATTGGCGTGGGGGCTCAAGGCTGGAGGGCGCGGGTTTGCAGCCATGGGCGCGTAACTCTGTCTAGGGGCTGGCTGTGCCAAAGGTGGAAGCCCCTGGACATCCCGGGCACCCACCTACACTCAGCGACGCAGTTGTTAATACAACTCTTTACCTTGGGAAGTTCTTTCCTTAAAACGCTTCACCAGTAGTTAGTTTCTATAGCTTGAGTATTACAGCAAGGAACCCAAAAGTGCGACCGCTTAATGATTTATTCACATTCCCAGCTGGAAACTGTCCTTAACTTCTGATTGGTTAATGTCTGCATGAAAGAATGTGAGTTAATTAAAGGAGGTCACACTTTTGGCCTCCTTGCTGTACATGTAAGCCAACGGACTGCTCTCCATGCCATGGAGATATCGTAGGATTGACTCCAGCCGCAGCACGGATGCCATGCTGGAAATGGAATTACGTCCTTGTTTCCGTGTCACTCAATAAAGTAGGGGCCTGGCCATGGGTGAGAGCCGCCGTAGTTCATCTAGGAATTTATTCGCATACATTCACCGCAAGAATGAAAAAGCTTTTTCTATCCTTTTTCGAGAAAGTGCCCTTTAACAGCCAATGATGCTGAAGCAGATTTTCATTGTTTACCGAAGGACCACACACAGCATGAAGAGAAAAAGAAGTGCGATAAGCGGTCGAGACGTTTTCAACCAAGTTAGAAGAAAACATATCCTTGGTTGCGATTCATACTGTGGAACTTGTATGGACTCGAACAGTAGTGATAAGCAAATTCGAACTCTACTTTTGTCACAGAACGGAAGATTTCTATTTGGACTCGATAAAGAGTCAAAAAAGTTCTGAACCCTGGCCTAGTACAGGCTACAAAATTTGAAACTTTACAAGTATCTGACACTTGTAAAGTTTCGAACCACTTCAATTCCTCTTGGACCAGTGGCTTTTCCTCGTGGGCTAGTGATTTCTTAAACTCACTTGCCCAATGCCTAGTGTCCAAAAAAATTAGTGTCGAGCACTGCCGGCGGAAGAACTTTGCAGTGAAACCATTCGCTCGCGGTTCCACTTGAGTTTTGAACATTGTGACGTCATTTTCGGGTCGTCGTCGGCCATCCGCATACTGTATGTAAGCCAATGTTAAATATCGCATTTAAGGTACCGAGCATTTTTGGCGGGAAACATGCGTCAAGAACGAGTGAAGAACGTGTTCCATTTGACACAAGTTCCATTCGATTATGCTCTTGTCACCAAAATTCAAGATGGTGGCACAGATTCCTTGTGAAACCTCGTAAATGGAACATGCTTTTTCACCGGAAAATTTCCAACGGGTAAACAGGACCACCTTTTCAAAATTCCACTTGAGTCCCGGGAACTTTTCAGTGGAACGTCCAGGAAAACGTGTGTTCCCGGAATTTTCTTGGTAAATGGAAAGCGCCCAATAAAACAAGCTCATAAGATCTTAGGGTCTATCGGTTTTAGTACTGTACATGTTAGGCTAAATTTTCATTAAGCCAACAAACAGAGGGAAGAGAAAAAGAAGGAGAGAAGGACTTAAAAAGGAAGAAAATAAGCTTAAAATAAATCAAAGATAATTAAACGTATTTAAAATTAAGACAACCGGCTAAGAGTCGGTTGAATAAGTTTTCTATTCTCAGCTTTAAGACTTTTGTGGTCATTGGTTGTGGCTTGGCTGAAATCTACTTCATATTGAGAGATGGAACAGGGTATATGCTTTGAAGACGAGAATTCAGTTCAGATTGTAAAGGCTGCCAAACAGTCTTAATTACAGGTTTATTTGAATCCTACCTGATCCAGAGTCGTCGCTTGGTTCTTCATAAACTAAAAAAATAACAACATAAGCTTAATAAATATAATGATTTATGTGATGAAAAGATAGCAGAACAAAGAATTTAAGCTAATTAGCGTTCTATAAATGGACCCAAAACGAGTTGATATTTAACGCACTGAATGTTGAAAAAGCTCGATTCCTGCTATGATTAATAGCAAATAAGTACTTAATATTCTTACGAATAAAGCCAAAGACAATATTAGCAGGAAAAGAAATGACCTTTAAGTGTATTGAAGTCGTCAATAAATAAAACTACGGCACAATATCAGTAAAATTATCTCAACTGCACGCGGTGATTTGTACCAAGTTCAAAATGCGCAAAGTTAACAATAAATTCTGGAACGTGAGGAGCAATTTAGGCATTTACTGAATCAAAACATTGTGAAAGAATAAATTATGCTGATAGGTTGTCTATTTAACTGAATAAGCCATAAAGCTCGGAGCATTCTTTCTATAAACCACTTCAGACTTTGACGTAAAGACTTCATACTTTGATTTGTATGGTAAGCGACTTCCTAAATAAGAGCAACTTCCTGATAAGCGAGTCATATCCAAGCTTTAAAATAAATTAAAGATAACACGCACGTGAAGATGCTTTTCGCTTTTAATTAGCTATTTTTTCTTGAAAACCCAGTTTCTCCAAAGCTTAGGATAATCACTGTTTTATTTCACAATCCACAACGAAAATTCTTTAAATTGTTATTAACTCATTGAAAGCCGCATAGTATTTTTTATTATAATTGAAAGCTAAGGTGATAATAAGCTTGCCAAGAGGTTATGAAACCCACGAATCACGTAACAGTCTCCAAACTTACTGAAGAACCAAATGCAGTCAATAAAAATTTCCCTATTAACGTATTTTATATGATCGCATTTGAATAAGGAATGAAGGAAAACTTCATCATTGTATTAGCCGTTTGGTTTACACTGTACTTTTTGCTTCAGCGACTGTTTATCAGCATATCTGCAACTACATTAAATTCTCCACCGATATGCTGACCCACGACTCATAGTCACGACTTAAACAATTGAATTTCAAGGTAAGCTAAACTACGAAAACACTGTAACAATACAAACATACCTTCTTCCTCTTCTGGTGGTATGTCATAAATTTCTTCATCAACTGGTGGAGTCTGAAGTCAGACAAATGAGAAACTGTTACAGCATGTTACAGCCTTCTGCCAGTTACTTTAAAGTTTATCAGAGATCAAAAGTTTAAGATCAAGCCTCCCGTTTATTGATCAAGCAGAGACAGAACTGTTTCTTACTAAAATCCTGGAGCAGCAATTAACTTCCTCATCTACATGTACTTCCATGTAGTTTTCCATTGGCTGATAAAGTTAGAAACTACTAAGATTATCTTTCAGAGTTTGCTTAAAACCTAGTAACAATCCAAAATGATTTAGAGAGAGACAAAGAGAAGTTTCGCTTGAACCTCAAAACTGTCAGTTTCACAGCTTAAGGCCTCAACTTACATGTAGCTTGACTACTATACAATTTTTTTTTTGTGATGAACACACGTATTTCAAAATAATTCATTAAAAATTCAATTTATTGGCTTTGCAAAACCAAGTCAATATTGTCATGACTTGTTCACCACACATGCATGCAGCTTCACCCCCAAAGTTCTGATTGTGATCAGAGACTAACTTCCCCCTCTGAATGCAATACAATATCACTGTAACTTCACAAAGGTCACGAGATTCAAGGAAGTAAAAGCACCAAAAATGAATTGTCTTGGTTCTTTAATGAATTATTCTTTATGAGACCTCAAGAAAATAATGTATGAAGGACAATGTGAAGAGACACTATGGATGGTGAAATTAGGGGATGGAGGATTAATAAATTCAGTCTCATTTAAACTTCACACATTATCAGTTTCCAATGTTAGCACGTCAAATAGTTTTTGACCAACAGATATGAAATGTAATACAACTTCCTTGCCATGGAAAGTTAATACCAGTAATAGACAAAATAATTTTGTGGTATTACATGAAGATTAGTAATGCTACAGAATTTCATAAAATTATGTGGAAAATGAAATAAACTTAAAGCAAACACAACAAAATTTCAGGGTAAAGCACCAAAAGCACCTTACACAGTCTCCAACACAGGATGTTATACTAACTTGTTATCGGTTTTTACTTCAGTTTAATACATTTTTTTTAAGGATGCATTACAGTTAAAACCCGAATTAAATAACCTAGTAATTTAAGAGCCTAGAGGCTGAAATTTGGCATTTATTTGTGACGGTACATAACCAGGGTTTATTTTAGAAATTGGCCAATGAGGGTCAAATGGATCCTCTTCTGTAATTTTAGGGGTCCCTTTTTCAAGAAAGGGGGTCCCCCAAAAGGTATTCTACATGAGTCGGACTCGAACGACACCTTGTTGCCATAACTTTTGGAACATTCTGGGCAACTGAAAAAGCCTGAGCTCGAATTACTGCAGAATCCTGGATGTTTGTCTGCTGTAATGATGACTCAAACGAAGAAGAGAAAAGCAATTGAGACAGTAAGAGGCTATAAAAATTCAAAGTACGTTTATAAAGCAGCCGTCAGTGTTCTTGTCAGTAAAGTTTTCGAATACTTAATTAAAAAAAAATAGTACATATCCTTGGGTCTGTTTTTTTTTTTTGGCGCCCCATTTGACTTGGTAACTTAATTCACCGATGCAGTCTTAGAAAACAAACTTCCAGTATTTCGAGAAATTAAGATTTGCTACCATACACACTGTATGTGAACAATATAAGGAATCAAACTCATGTTCATACAAAAATACAAACGGTCAAGAAGTAGCTCTGAATCACAAACATTAAAATTTCAATGCCACCTTTGCAGAGAAGATCAGATACAAATATTGTAAATTAAGCAGAAAGAACCTTGTAGCCTGAGAAAACAGCTGACATACTGCGACGCCAACACTGCTTTCTCAAGTCTGCGAAATGACGTCTGAGGAAAGACTGTGCAACAGAAATTCCATGTAGTGATGACCTGTCACTACCTAGATCTGGTTGATTGTACTGTTGTACTGCTGATTGGTCATGCCATTTCATCAGCATGGAAATTCCATGCTTGTTTCTCAGACATCATTTTGTGGGGAAAACAGAGGTGGTGTCATAGAATGTTGGCTGTTTTCTCAGGCTAGAACCCTGCAGATCAGAGCCATACAATCACAGAGATCTACCAATGGATCAAGTTATTAGACTGAAACTGCATCCATCCATCAATGACACTAGTGATCTTAATTTTGTACACTTGGGCATTTAATTATTACACTTTTAAATATCATGAACATATGCAGCCCACCTTAACTATTTTCTACAGAAAATTAAACATTAAAAAGATGGAATTACCAGTAAATAGAAAATAAAATCTACTGAATCAAAGAATCATTCAAAGATTTTCTGGGTATGCATGACCCAAAACCCCTCTAAAAGCCAGCTCTCTTAGAACTTGTGATATTAGGAAACAGTTACGGTTTTTTCCTGGACAATGCTTAAATATCGCTGAGAGATATAATAATTGTCGACCTGCAGCAATTTTAAACCCAACATTCATGAGCATAAATAATTGTGGTGTAACCATTCAAATGAAACCTTTTCAGTAGTATACTTTCACTAAATTAAGACACTTGACTGGGAATAAAATGGCTTGACTGACCTGCACAGGTGACTGACCATGAGCTGGACTATTAAAAGGCTTTCTGGAGATGCTTCCATTCAAACCTGCTCTTAGCTGCGCAACCTTAAGTGATACAGAGAATAAAAGATTTCAAAAAAAGCTGAAGTGTGAGAGATACCCGTCCTAAAAGGCTGAAAACAGGGCCTGGATCTGTTGATAAAATCCATGCAGTGATAAGATGTAATAATAATTACAACATTATAATAATTTATTGTAGACAGACACACAACAAATTAGGATACTTCTGGCTACGAAAAGCTTTTGTTTACAGCGAAAAGAAAAGAGTTCATTCATTCATTACAATTCTTAATATCAAGCTTTAAAATACAGATCCTCAATTACAAAGTCTTTCCAAGCTTGTGCCTCAGGCGTTCTATTCCATATACTTACTGCATTTACCATCTGGTAAATGTCTTATTTATGAAAATTAACATATCTTACCAGGCCAAGTGGAACATTAGGAACCTCCTTATTGTGTGATTCTAGAAAATAAAGGAAAAATAAAAATTCAAATTATTGCTTATCATTAACTATAGATGTATCACAGCAGTTTTTTTTTTAAACAACAAAGAATAAAATAAACTCACCATCTCCATGATGACTGAAAACCTCATCTCCTTCTGGTTCGATGTACTCTCCACCCGAGCCACTGTCACTGTCCACATCCTACAAATACAAAAAAAAGTCTCCTTTTGAGTTGTACACGCCAGCTCTTGCGCTTTAATGGGATGAGTCTCACGTTTGCAGATCAAAATTAATGCTTATGATCTCGTACTAGCGCAGCTCAAGGTCCATGTTTTCACCCCTAACAGAAAAACTGACTTAAATACAACTACAACTGACATTTCCAAAAAGTATACAAGTATTAAAGTACATGTAAAATAAACTACTTGAATTGGTGTCAGAAAAAAATCAAAAGTACATAATTATGTACATTTGTGAAACAATAACGCAACTTCTCCGAAATCTCTGTTTTTGAAAGGATAGCTAATACCAGGGTGTTACAGCATTTAACTGAACACTTCATGGAACTAGAAATGGAAACGGTTTAGTGCGTTGATGGGTAACCTTTGGAAATCATCAAAACGTCTTCAGAAATCTCTGGATTTATACATTGGTTCCTCCATGAAAAATCTTTTGCAAATTTAAGAATAATATATTTGCAGTCATACTGATCTGGGTATTTGTTAAAAAAACCCAGTTCTGAGTAGTGACACATCATCAGTATGGAATCTCTGCCTTTTTTTTCTCCAACACTGGTGGTGAAATGTTGGCTGTTTTCTAAGGCTAAATAAATGCAGGCCATATTTCACCGCAGACAGTATAAAAGTACAGTGTAGCAGATGCATTACCTATTAAGGTTCTACACGTAAGTGTGTATTAAACTTGTGATCTAATGAAAAAAAAAAGTTATATCAAGCTTGATAATCATACCTCGTGATCTTCATCATCTTCAGAATCAAAATCAGAACCCCACCCTTCATCTCCTAAAAAATAATAATGATAAAAAACAGTCACATAATTTTCAAATTAACCCTGACATCCAGGGTAAATTTATAGAATAAAATGATTCATAATCACTATTTATTATTTATTTATTCCCCACTGTTATCCAAAAATTAAAAATCGCAAAATGTTATTGCCATTGTTTAAATTTGTCGTTCTTTTGACCATAAGTGTTTTTTTTTAATTGCTGCAAGATTTTGGACAGGTGATCATTCTAGGTGTCCTGTGGATCCCCAGCTTTTATTTTAACAGCTAGTCCTGATTTTAGAACTGATGGCTTGACATCCTGTAGTGTCATGTCAAATGAAAGCTACTGGGTGATACATGTGCAGCATCTACGAGAAATAAAATGTAACCCCGTTGGAGGAAGGATAACCACAGTTGGTTAGTGCAAGGCTTTCTGTGCAGGAGGTCCCGAGTTTGATTCCCAGGTGTGACCACCACTAATCCTTCTTTCAACTTCTTTCCATTCTGTGCAAGCTTCAAATACCCGTAAAACAGAGCACTGATGAAGAGGGCGGGGGAGGGGGGGGGGCAAATGAGTGCACCATCGTCCTCAGATTTGTTAGTCATGCAGATGACTGTTTTGAGCTACTGACATGAAATAAGGACCCTCTACCTTTCTTTACCTAATTGCCATAAAATTTTTCACACTATTATTTTTTTTCAAGTCACTAAAATTATTGCAAATTTTTTGTAAAATTTATTCTAGGATTTAATCATTATCGAGTCAAAAATTTACTTTATGGCTAATTATTAATTCAATAAGGTATACCTTCATCATGGTGATCAATGTGTGTTGGTATTGCAGACGGTCTTTTTTGCTCTCTCATCTCTCTTGGCTCATCTTCAAAACTAAAATTAAATATTAGAAACAACAAGATTTATCTGTGCACAGTGATGGGGATGGCCATGCCAAATGTATGCAAACTCATGCCACAATGGTTGTACAGTATGGTGTGCCACACACACACACACAGATAAACTGTGCACGTTCAAGTGTTGTGGACGTACTCAGGATTAAGAAATTTGGGGCTACAGAGATTTATATCTTTCTCCTCAGAACTACAATCTTTTTAACTGAAGCAACACACATTCACATAATTCACGGCGCATGTTCTGGTGCTGTCTACAGTAGATACATGTGTCTAATTGAGCTCTGCACTAGGAGTGAACTTTGACAACTGATAATGATTCGAAAGTGAAAATCTAATGCAACATTAATATACACACTGTAGATCTGCTCTTAATCTTCCTTTCCTTTTCTTCCCCTTACTAGTGAATTACTTTTTGTTTTCCACTGCCAGCCTTTATTAGCCAAGCTACATGCAAGCAGAGGATTTTGGTATGTGCACGAATAAACAATATAATAATGCTTGCTTGCTAAAAAATGATAATATATAATAATAACAACATTTTTCATCTCACTGTACAGAAATATATTCTTGGGCTTAAATGTTTAATTAAACTACCTAGTGAGAAATGGCACTGTCCAAGTTTTGTCAAAAAGTAAAAATACTAAAATTAATGTGCAATAATGTTCTTTTCCACTATACCTTCTATGACTGTGTCTTTTTTTCCCTTTAATTCTTTTGAGAACTTTTGTGAGTTTCCTGTTAGAATAAAGAAAAAACAATGAAAAAGATTGTATCACTTTGTACAACAGTATAAATCTTACAAATACAATGTCTTGAAAATTTAACTAAAACTCCATGCGTTAACCCTTTAACCAGCAATCGTACATATATGTACAAAAGAACCCTCTTGGAGTAAACGTTCTGTACAGTTCAACAATTTGGCTCCTGGATTGTTTCACTGCTTTTTTCTTGAAATAGTTGTTGTGACTTTACTTTCAACAGGGCTTCTGATATTTCGCACGGTCGCGGACCCGTGAATTTCAGGTATTTCCGCAAAATCCTGTGAAATTCTCCAAATACCGCGAAATCCACCAGAAATATTTCCAAATACATGTCGGCAAAACATATTTAATGCTTATCTTGGCTATTAGACCGGTTTTATTCACACCAAACGTCCAAATTTAGCTTGAAACTTCATCACTGCAACGAGTCAAAAAACATCCCAAAACTACCAGGCATTTTTAGATGAATGTGGCGAAAAACTGGGCACTAACCATAATGTTAAAAGCTTTAGCATTCGTTCATTTCTCGAGCGAACTGATGTTGAAAGAGCAAATGATTATCCCTGTTAAAAGAAACGTTTACCAACGCTGGTCATATCGACGCAAAACTGATCGATTTTGCGAAATTTGCCCAAAAAAATCCAACGAAATCGGCTGTTTTTTACTGATTGTTTCCCCCCGAAATTTCCTGTAAAATCGGCCAATTTTCCTAAGAATTTGCCCCTGAAAATCTTTCGAAAATTGACTTTTTTGCACCAAAATCCCGCGAAATCGGCCGATTGTTCCGCGAATGTTGACTTTTTCCCGCTAAAATCCAGCGAAATCGGCCGATTTTTCCGTGAATTTTGACTTTTCCCCCGCGAAAATCCCGCGAAATCAGCCGATTTTCCGCGAATTTGCCCCTGAAAATCCCGCGAAATTTTGCTTTTTTTTCCGCGAAATATCAGAGGCCCTGTTTCAAGGGGATTTTAGCTTCTGATTTTAGCTGTAGCTTGCATCAAATCTACTCATTTTGCAACATTGCCTTGGGACTTTTGGTTGGAAACAGTGACCAAAGATAACAGGGTTCATACAAAAAACTGCAACCATTTTCTAAGAGGACTTTTCAAGGACCACATTACATTTTCAATGTAATTTCACAGACTGTGCAAAGAGGCACATTCCCAGTCCATCCTAACTGGACTTTTAGGCTTGAACTGTTTCCTCCGCCAACTTCTCTACATTTTCAGTTCACTTGTCTTAAATTGATAGTTACCTGTAATTCTTGCATGACAAAAAACTTTTTATCAGTTATGTAAATCACCTTAACTTCTCTGTGAGCTATATGAGTTATATTCTGTCTTGGACAACCAAAAAGCATTTAAAAAACACTTTCCAGGCCACTTCATTCAAAGTTGAAGAAAATTCAAGGACTTTTGAAGGACTTGCAAAGAAGTTTAAGGACTTTTCAAGGAAAAATGAAATTCAAGTAATTTTCAAGGAATCCACCTAAAATTCACTGAGTTTTCAAGACTGTGCAAACCCTGGATGAAATTTGCACTGATTATATTGTGGAAAAGTACAGGTACAGTATTCAGGGCTTCTGATAGGTCGCGGAAGAAAAAGTCAAATTTCGCGGGATTTCTAGGGACAAATCCGCTGAAAAATCAGCCGATTTCGCAGTGATTTCACGGGAGTTTTCGGGGGAAACTTCCCCAAAAAGCAATTGGTAAAAACGGTCGATTTTGTGGTTATTTTCAAGGCAAATTTTGCTAGAAATCAATCGGTTTCGCTCAGATCAGAGCAGCGTTTTTAATGTTTTTCTAACAGAGGTCATCATTTGATCTTTCAACAACGGTGCGCTCCAGAAATGAACCAATGGCAAAGCCTTTAACATCATGGCTAGTGCCCAGTTTTTCGCAACATAGCCTATGCCTGATAGTTTCGGGATGTTGTTTGCGCGTTTCAGTGACGAAGTTCTAAGATAAATTTGCAAGTTTATGGCAAGTAAATAGCCCCAATAGCTGAAATAAGTTTCAAATATGTTGCACAGACATGTATTTGATAAGATTTCTACCGAATTTCACAGTATTTTTCGTATTTTTGTGAATTTTGCGGGATTTCGCAGATTTACCTAAATTTTGTGGCTCCACGACCGCGCAAAATATCAGAAGCCCTGTATACTGCAGCAACCAACAAAGTACTTAAACTATTAATGAAAAAAATAATTCAAGTCTGACCTCTTGCTCTCTTGAGATATTTGAAAGGTTTTTATATCAAATTCTGATAAGTTCTGAAAAAAAAACAAGAGAAAATATATCAAATTACAAAAGACCAATATAAATATCAATAATAAATTGTAGTGTTATTTAGCAATATTTATTATAATATTCTGAGTGATATTTCAAAACTATCCAAACTACCATGAGCAGGCTATAGTGCAGGTAAGATTCATCTAAAGGATGTAACTGAACGGTCAGGAAACTGGGAGATGAATTCAGCCTCAGGGGAAAAACTCAAGGGTTGAATGACTGAAATCATGAAATGCTAATTATGAGAAAACTATCTACATATTAAGAACAAGAACAACAAAAATTATTTAAATTTATCCTAATCTGCTATCCAACCAAGAGTGAAAAATTCCACATAAAAACTACTGAAGCCATCAGTACATTAAGCAAGTCACAAATACAATGCACCTGTTACAAATTTCAAATTTTAAAAACGTTTTGATAATGAGCTCTTAAGGATTGTGTTTCGAATAGATTTATGTGACACTCTCGATCCTAGAACAATATTAGCTTCTCTTACATGGTTCTCAACTGTGGAAAATTCATTTTGGATTAAGCGGCATCTTTGAGACTGCACATGGACACTTCAACTGTGTCGTTCAGTTATAAAAATGTCACAAAATATATTATTTGCATAACAATTGTTCACTAACCTTTGTTATTTTCAGATTGCTTGGTTTTTAATATATATGTTCTACCAGTAACAGCAGAAATTGAATATTTCAGGGACATGTTTTTAAAGCTGTTCTAAACACTCATGAAACGTTTTATAACATCAAAAAGTAATACTTGCAATAAGAGCCTAGAATTTTCAATGAAAACTGATGAAACACTGCTTTTCATGTTGTAAACATTACATAATATTAAAACATTTATTTTGTTTTAACAATATTGTCACAGATATGATACACTGTGTTAAATGTCTTTGAATTGTCAAAGACAACTTTCAACATAAAGTGTATCCCATCAGAACCCATGGGGAAAAAGGCATTTAATTATTACTGCAGTACTGGGAATTGTACTTAGCTAGGCGATAAGGTAAAGAGCCAAATACGTAAAGTTATCTCATCCAATGCAGGAATTGCAAGCTTCCCAATTTTTAAAAGAACTACTTCCAATTTCATAGATTGACATTCTTGAAGCATTTGTCTCTGACCACCCCTCTCCGTCAGCACCTCTTAGTAACTTGTGTGACTCATAACTATTGAAACTAAGTTTCCCTACTTTCCCTTATAAATTTAAAGTAGAATGACTTTCATATAAATTAAATAAATAAAAATTAACCACAATGGACATGTACCTCCATCTCAAGCATCATCCTCTGATGTTTGAGAAAATCCCGAGGTAAAACCATGCATTAACAAAGTTGTTAAGCAGCATATGCACAGTCTCCTCTCACTTTAATCGTCATTACCTAATAATTCACTACCACATTCTAAACTATTTAAAATATGCTTGCCACTCTGTGAGGGCTGTTAAAAATATTGACCAAATACAGTGTATCTCCTTATCTTTTCCTGAAATGTAGATCGGAATCGATCGGATATCGTGACACACACATACATAATATATATGTACATAGGTTTTAAAAATTATATATTTTTTTGACAATTTTCAATAGTTGTTGACAGTTTACATCTTTATAACTTGTACAGAAACAATACCTTCATCAGCAGTAAAGCAGAAAAAGAACAAGCAAGAATGTTAATTTGGGCACCTTGATTATCACAAGTCAAGGCAATGATTTCAGAACATTAATTATATTAGAATATAGGGACAATATAGCCCTTTGTATTGCATTGAGTGAACCACGTTTGTTTACAGGAAAACACGCAATAAACTTCTATTTATGTATATATATTTATATTTGCCAGCCATTGTTAACGAATTTCAAGATACACATCTACGTAAAAATGATCAATGAATTGTGGGCGAGGCATATATACGTGTATGAAGTTATTAATAGTTCTGATGGCAAAAGAACTTGCTAAAATTACAAACCGACTGATGCATGCTTAACTCAAATTGCCATATAAAGGCAAAAACATTTAAACTGCTGTTCTGCTTAATTTGCATGTAGTGAAGGCACAAAAAGAATTTCAAAAATTATTAAAAAGAAAAAAACCCAGCCATTTTAGATCTTTGAAACAATAAAAAACTTGTATGATCTGTTAGTCTGTGCAGGACTTAAAGACTTAACAAGTCAAACACATAACACAAAGAAATCCCTCAGCAGGGTGTCTGCAAGAGTGTAATTTTGAACAAGCCTAAATTAAACTTTGGATGATTGGTCCACTAATCATGAATGTGAATTATCATAAGGTCTCCTTCATTTTAAATAGAATAATTGATAAAACATCTAGGTGACCATATACAATGTAAGTACATGTAGAGTGCATCTGATTAAACATCACTTTGATGCTTTATTTTAAAAAAAATTCGTGAGAGAGATCAATTTGACATGCAAAACAAAATTGACAATGAACTAAAAAACCATTTAATGCACTATCATCTGCATGACTACCTTCATTTCAATTTTATTGCCTATGGCACTATGCATGTCCAGTGATAAACCATAACGTCACATAAAATTAAAATTGCTTAATTCGCCCTTTAACAACTTGAACAGGGGTTGTTCTTTGGAGTTTTCTACTTCAGGATCAAGTTACATACAGGCAACCCTCTTTTTAAATTTAAAGCCATCTGAGCTGCCTCACGTGGTAATTAAATTAAACCACCTGGGCCGAGTTGTACAAAGCTGGGTTAGGATAACCCAGGGTTAGCTCGAAATTTGAATTCAGATTTGAAAGCTTAAAAAGCAAATTCAGCTTAATTCTTTTTGTCAACAATTTGATGATTGGCTATCCTAAAAAGAATAGAGAAAATTGTCCAAGAAAATGCTTTTGATGAAAAGAAAAAGAGACCCAGGTTAAAATTTAACCCTGGGTTAGCGCTAATCAGCCTTTGAACAACTGGGCCCAGAAAAATATTTTCCGGATAATCTCTTTCAATTACAGAACTGTATAAGATAGAGAATTCACAAGCTAAGTCAGTATTTATACATTGTATACTGACAGGTGCAATACTGTAAGAGTGTGACATATATAGTACAGAATTCTGTTAAATGTGTAGCATTTGTAAGAATTCCAAATGTCGCATTAAGAAACAAAAGTTATTTGACTATAAACAGGGTTTGTAAAGATTTTTGATCCAAAATTCAAGACTTTTTCCAGACTTTTTCCAAAACAATACTTTCTCTTTCAAGACTCAAGGTTATCAAATAGGTTTAAGAGAGGTTTAAAGGCTTGTTTATGGTGGAAAGTGCACTTAGCTTATCCAGCTGGTCTACAGGCACTCCACTCAAATACTTAGAAACAAATAATTCAAATACAACATAACAGGATTAAAAACCCCAACTGGCAGGAGGCAACAAGTTGACTATTTACAAGCATGGCCAAGGATTTGAACTAGAGACGGCCAAGAACAAAGCCAGAGAGTCACCAGAGAGGGATTTGAACCTGGGACTGCCGGATTGCGAGTGGTTGCTGACCACTCGACCATGCTGCCTCCTTAATAGAGACCTTAAAAAAACGTGGGAACAAAGCTTCTTCAATGACATGCAGGTGAGATTGAATAAGATTTGACACACATGAGAAAAAAATTTCTCTTGTGAAGCACTTGTTGTAACTTTCCAAAAAAAAATCAAGACTTTTTACCATTTTTTCAAGACTTTACCTCTATTTTCCAGACTTTTTCTAGGTTTGGAAAATTGCTGGGCAAATTTCAAGAATTCAAAACTCTGTACAAACCCTGTAAAAAGCTACTCCTTGACTCAAATCAACACTTGGAGCCATGCATCCGTTGTGCACAGAACTTCTTCAATAAAAAATGACTTTTAAGTACATTTTGGAAATTACCGCAAGAAATTGTTGACTAGGACATTTTAGTAACAAGGTGACATCATAAAGTGCACTAGATCCTCAAAAGTGCCAACACCCACAATTTTAAGTCATTTGCCACTGAAAACATTGCCAAAAAATGCTGTTTGAAAGCTTTCTGGTAATGTATGTGACTGAGAAGAGGCAAAACCAGCCAACAATGTTGTTTGTAGCTTTGTACATGACAGGTAGTTCTCTACAACTGAACTTTCATTATGTACACAAACTCTGATTTGTACCAATAGTTGGTATAATATTATCATAATAACTTTGGTACAGGCCCATCTTCACCCCCAAATAATGCACTGAACAAATTAAAGAGGAAAGGTTTCTTAACAGACAACAAACAAACAACGAATCACATTGTAAAGTTTACCAAACGTAAATTTGACAAAACAAAAGCAAATCGCCACAATTAAAGCCTTTCAGATAAAGGCGGGTGGACCATGAAAAAAATTATTGATTCACAGACTTACCAGAAATGTCAATCCATTTATTTTCTTTGATGAAAAGGGTCCGATACAGTCCCGAAGACCTTCCTGCAGTAACAGATTTGAGAACCTCATGATATACAATTAATATATAATACTAAACATTTCATAAAATCTCATCAATTTACACTGCTACCACCATTGACTTTTCCTGTGCAGCAGGCACTCCAGCACGTTAAGGATAATATGGTATAAACAAAAATAGTTATACACAAAAACACTACATGGAACAAGTGTACACATACATTACATTACTATTATTTCACGCTGTCTCATTCAGCATGTGCTTATGAAGGGATGAAGATAATGGCAAATTATAAAGGGTGTAACAAAACATTTGCAGAAAAATAAAAGCTTGAGGAAGTCTTGCTGTCCAGTAAGACTTATTTAAACCAAAAGTGAATCATCAGTGGTCAACTAACATAATTTACTGATTATAAACAATAACACCAACCTACAGTTACAAGTACAAAGGGAAGGACTCAGGTGGAAAGTACAAAATCACAGTGGAGAACTACCCTTTAGTTTAAGAAATTAGTAATTGGAAGTAAGGCTTCATTCAGACGCCGATCTTTTCATGAACCGAACCTAATACATATGATGAATTAAGTACATGAAAAGTTAAGCATCTGAATCAATTAGGAACGCCTGTTTCAATTTACAATAGCTCAGCCATTCTTCACGCCTAGCCTGGCATAAATTATAATAATTATAAAGTATTTTGCAAGCAGTTTGACCAAAATGAGCATTTTTCTCCTGACTTTTGAAATAAGTTCGGCTGGAATTAAGATCGGCGTATGAATCAGTTCAGGCGGTCCAAACAGTTGGGATCAGCCTTAATTCCAATCAGGTTCGGCTCATGAAAAGTTCGGAGTCTGAACAGGGCCTAAGTGGAACGATAAAAGTTTACTAAAAACCTTTGTTGCTGGGACCAGCAGCCAAAGTAAACCTGAACAATAGAATTTTGCATATGCTGTACTAATGAATAAAGGGAGCACATAATTCCTTTTTGCCATATGAAATAAATGATAGAATATTATTTCATTGTAGCCAGCAAGATTGCACATTATACGTCATTTTGTATAAAGCAATAGAAAATGTTTTCCCTAGCTACATAGCCAGATATAAGCACAAGAAGGTGATGGGGGGATTCAAGACAGTTACACAAAACAAGACAAAGTTGAGGGTTTGCATAGGTTCTACCACATTTTTCCCAACACCCTCGAGTGCGCTGTATACTTTTTTGTCAGAGTTGGAGAAAATTGCAGAGGATTTCACATGTTATGCAAAGAAGAAATACCCAAGCATGGACTGTGGAAAAGCATAGCAAGAATAGCACTCAAGGGATGACAACTACTATTTGAAGAATGGGAACTTTACATAGATTGAGATAAGCATTTTTTTTGGTTGCATGTCAGTTGGAAATATTTAAAAGAATTAAAAGTCAGTTATGGGATTTGGCTTTTTTTCTATGACATTATACATATCTTGGAGGGTGTTATCCACCAGCACCTCTGGATCTGCGTAATTCTTCATATCATACTCAGTCTCATCCAATAACAATTAATGCTGTACATTGTACCCACTATCTTTCCTCTCATTGACTAAAAGCTTACAGTTAATTTTGGAAATCAGTAGATCCTAAAGAGTAGTTTGCTATTTGCTGGCATATAACTGACCCGAATCTGTCGGGTGAATTTACAATGCATAATTTCCAAAAGCCATGTCAAACTGTGCTCTGTGTGACAGTGTGTTTGTGGTTAATTTTGTTCAAAACAATGTATGATAATACAATGTTATTAGATTCGGTTTTTATTATATCCGGAATAATCAAGGTCTTGCATTGGTGAGTATATGCCTTGGCTAATCACTCTTAACTTGACCTTGATTTGTCCGGATATCACAAAAACCTCATGCAACAATAATTTATTGTTTGTTATTCTATGAAGTTAGCCAAAACTGTTAAAACTCCAAAAAGATGAAGTTTTGGGCCCAGCACAAAATATGAATGATTCATAAGTTAAACTGTTTTTTGAGTCCGCAGTAATTAATAAAATAAATACCTAAGATTGAGTTGAAGAGATGGATAGAAGGGTAACTAGACTCTGCGCAAAATTATACCAGCTAGATTAACAGTACAAGGTTCGCATATTAAGGGAAAACTTGAATACATGCTTACTTATTGAACAGATTCAAACAAGATATACCTTAATTGTCTTTTTGTCCGTCCACATATTCCTCGAACAAAGCTCGACGAATATAAGCTCAAAGTAAAAGTTTTGGATTCAGTGAATTATTAGCTGAGGCTTTACTCTGTTCGCTATTGATCACTGTAAAGATTCAAGAATCTCTTACGAAGTATCACTAAGAATCTGCGAGAGGTTTGCGTAACATTAGCGCAATTTGTGCAAGCTGTTTACATAATAAGAAGAAATTATGTCCTTTCCAAGAATTAAGGTCAGGAAATCAGATAACAAATCACATACCCGCAGTCGTACACGTAATGAGGGACCAAACAATCTACGAAGTCTTGCACGATTCATAACCTGACCACCGTTCACGTTAACTAGTTAGTTTACTCGGCGAAATCTTTAACACTTCAACTGCAAAATTGTCACTTTAAGGAGTGGATGGCCAAAATGATGAATGACAAATGGCTTTCAATCAATTCTAGTCCCCGATACTAGCGACATTTTCAGAGGAATACCAGAACACGTAGTCAATGAAAGCGATATTGAGGATCCAAACTCGAGCTATAACCGGCTGAAGGCCAACATAACACAGTCGTTAATACACTCGTGTTTAATCGTTAATTGCATACCTTTGTCAACCAGAATATCATTTTATCCACGTCCCAGTCGTGAATGGAGGCTTCTGTTAAACTCGACATCTTCCACTTCGAGTTTTACCATACAGAAAGACCAACTTCCTTCTGGCTTCAACACAGAATTACATACTGTGGTTTCGGAAGCCACAGAGTTCTTCCGGGTGGACTTGATCACGTGATTAAGCGCTAGATCACAGGGTCACGAATTTCCTGTGATTGAATTCTTAGAATTACCGGAACGTACTTTAATTTGCTACTCTTTCAATCTTAGGTTTATTTTCCAAAACCATTTTATTTTCAGAAATGAAGAAAAAAGAAAATAAAATTTACTAACTTGGTTCCTAACTAATGCATTAAAATATATTATACAAAAAAACTCTGAAAGAACTTTTAGCAAGAATCTCTAGGAATTTGAAGTGACCTGTACCGATTTCGCCAAATACGGTACTAGCTGCTAGACTTAAAGCAATGATATAATAGTAATAATAATAACAATAGTAACAATAAAAATAATATTAGCTATGAAAAATTGACCAAAAAAATTCTAGAAAACATCGATAATGACTTAACGTCGAAACATCGTCCTATCAGTTTTCAACGTTTTTAGGAATTCTTAAAATGTTTTAAGAAAAATTTTTTCACAATTTTTAATTAATAATAATGATAATACTGTAATAGCAAAAATCATAACAGTAAAATAGTAATAATGATGATAATAATACAAGTTTGCTAAGGTCATTT